GTGCTTGGTTGTCTGTCTCTAAGTGTAGCCCTGTGATAGACTGGTTACCTGTCCAGGGTGTCCCCTGCCTTCACCCTGAGTCAGCTGGGATAGACTCCAGCCCCCCACGACCCTCGTGAGGATTAAATGGTGTATAGATGATGGATGAATATTAAAATGCTCAATGCTGTCTTTCAGATTAAAAAAAAAAAAATGCTTTCATGACTTTTTACAGTGGATCTGTACCATCTACATACAGTTTGTGTGTCTTGTTTAATATTGCTAAAATGGAAGACCAGAAAAACAGCATTTACCCTTTAAACCAATGTGACAAAAATAAACTCAGTGAAGCAGATCATTCATGCTGTGGGAAACTGCTGCTCACCCGTAAGGTGTTGTCCCAGGAGGCCGAGCAGAGCGCCGTGCCATCAGGGGACACTCTGACTCTGCTGATGCGGTTCTCGTGGCCAAACAGGATGGAAACACGATTCCCCTTCAAAACGTCCCACACGTTCATTGTGTAGTCATTATACCCAGCAAAAAGCAGGCGACCTGTGGGTGGCAGGAGGCGTGGGAGTGGGTGGCCATAAAAGAGGAAGCAGGGGATTTTGGAACAGAGAGAAGAAGGGATCCGGTGAAATTGTGAGACAGGTGGGAAATATTCCTGGAAACACTGATTTGATTTATTCAAATTAAAATTCTGTAAAATGAAGCAGTGCACAAATCATCACTGGCTTTAACAACTTTGCATTTATGTGTCCCAGAATAAAAAGTGTCTTCTTTATTAGATAAAAAACAGATCAGAGTCAAGTCAAAATGTAGTGAGCACATTTTAAATGAGTAACTTACCGCTCAGAGAGAAGTCCACGGTGGAAGCACCAAATATGATGCTGTCCTTCTGGAAGACGGCGACTTCACGGTCAGCTCGCAAGTCAAAGAAACGACACTGATGGAGCACAAACACAGAGAGAAACAGGACACAAACATTACCATCAGTCAGTGAACGGTACACACTATCACAGCATGTCACAGCTGGAGGGTTGGAGTCACTTTTAGTTGTGTGTATCGTTAAAAATGATTTCTGTTTGTTTTTACTGAAAGCTATTTTTCCGTTAGAGGCTGCATCCAGTGTAGATGTTTTTAATGTTGCCACAGTTTGACAAATGTCTTCACAACAGAAAATAAATGACAAAGTTCACCTTAACATCAAATAATGTCAAAAAAATCCCAGTATACTGATGCTATGTATTTATGCAGGAAGTGAAAATGTCAGTGATTTTGCCTTCTGTCATGAGCAGCGAACAGATGCGGGTCATGTGATGTTACTCACCGTGGCATCGTCAGACGCAGATGCAAATGCGTCTCCACTGGGGTAGTACCTGGACACGCATGATCAAAAGCAGAATTAAACAATGAAGAACTGATTGAGCTGCTGGAGCTGAAACTTGGTCTGATTAACAAATCTTTGTGTGAAAACAAAAGCAACAAAAAAGTGAATTATTTGTACAGTTTAGCAGTTTTTCTTCTTCTTTTGTGGATTTTTGGCACATTATCCATTAAATACAAACAAAACAAAAAGCACAAAACTTTGCTTCATACTGCTTTACATTTTGAGCATTTAAAAAAACAAAAAACTCATTTAATTTAAACTGTGATCCACACTATGTACATATTTTTTGCAAACCTGGACAAAATAGTAAGTTGGGCATTCCAGTTCCATTTGTTTTTAGTTTCAACCTCAGAGTTTCAGATTTGACCAGACTGAAATCTACGTACTGTACCGACAAGTGAACAACGGCTGTCTTGTCTCTCAATCATTAAAGACCAAAAAGTCTTCTACTAGCAGAAGAGTGCCTCAGATCATCCTCATGCCCCTGTAGATGTGTTCAAACACGATTAAAAAAAAATAGAATTGATTAGAGGCTTTGTAATTAATTAATCATGATTAATCGTCTTTTTATCAAATAGCAAAATTTAAAGAGATAAGCAAAGTTTTTCAATTCAAATACATGTCGGCTGACGACTGAATCAATGAATGGGTGAATACATGAACTTAAACAGGAGAAATGTTTATTTTAGAATTGGAATTAGAATAAAACTTTATTAATTATTATATTATTATATTAATTATTTATTATTTTTAATAGATATTTACCTGCATTTTTATGTCTACTACATTCACAGCTTAGGGAAAACTTAAAGTGCAACTACAGCCGTTATATTCAACATTTTAAGATGTTTTGTCTTAAAATTCGTTGTTGCATAAGTTGTACATAACCATGCTCTTGACCAAGCTGCCATCAGGGAAATTTTAAAAACCACAAAACTTTCCGTCCAACAAGTCAAGCAATGCGGTTTCGTCACTGTTCACCAAACATTCTTGTGCGCTGACGTCACTCACTGCATCCTGAACGCAGGGCTCAAATTTTAAGTGGTCGCATTGGTGCGAGTGCATGATGGACTTTAAGCTGTATTAGTGTGGCTGTGACCGGCACAGGCAGCTGCTGTGTTAACCACAGAGGTAGAACGCAGTACTTTCATAGCTTCAGTGTACTGCGGTGTGTACACTTAAAAATTAGGTCTTCTAGTGAAAAGCAGCTAAATGCACAGTTTTCTCCGCTCATCGAAAACAGCGCATGTAGGACGAATCTATGTGAACTACTTTCTGTTTCTATCGATAAGAAAATGTTCAGCAAGTCGTGTGTTTTGCCTGTGACAAGTGAGAGGGATGCAACTAAATGCGTTATTCTTTTTAAAGCGTTGTTTTTCTGTAATTAATTCGTGGAAATTAACTCATTAAAATCCCAGCCCTAGTTCAAACTTATGTGGCTTAATTTGTTTTTGTTCATTATGCATTCTGATTATCCAGGATAGAATTTATTAATTTGGGATGCCATTAGCCCACAGGTTTAATACGCCTTTTGAGGAACCTCATCTTTTTTTTTTTGATTGTTTAAATGAGGAATAAGAGAAACACGACAGCAAACTGGACTCACTTTACACAGTTGATGTCGGACTCGTGGCACTCAAACGACTGAATGTTCTGTCCGGAGCGCATGTCCCACACATTGGCCTTCTTATCACAGCCCTGAAAACACACACACACACCCCGACGCATTAGAGAAAGGAAATAGAGTTGCTGTCATGTCAAAAATGATTGATGAAAACTAAGTCAAAGAAGATGAATGACTGGGTTTCCCCATGACCACGTGAATTTCAAAGCCACACAAATTCATGAACTGCCTCTTCCTTCTCACCCCAGAGACAAAAGTGTTTCCGGTCTCAGACGGAGCGAGGTCCAGCGACAGGACATCGGCTGTGTGACCGTGGAAGCTCTGCAGCAGCTGCCCGCTCTCCACGTCCCACAGGGCGCATGTGCCGTCGCCACTGCTGGACAGGAGCTGAGAGACACATAGGTACAGTTCAACATCCACACACATGCATTCAAGATCAGTGCAAAGCAAAAATAAACCTGAAAACCTGAACGTTATTTGCTGAGTGTGTTTGTAACAGTGTAATAATCTAAACAAACTAATACTTTTTTTTACAGAAGTCCTTATGGCAGCCTGCAAACAGCTCTACAGTCAGCTTTACTCTGTGGAAGTAGATACGAGGAAGTTGACAAAAACCACATTCTTCTGGAAACTCCACAGCGACTGCACTGATTGTTTGATTAGGAGACAAACTGAGATAAAAGTGGTTTGATGCGCCACTGGAAAGACAAATATGAAAGTAGGCGATTATAAAAAATTTTGAGAGCAACTGCAAACACTTAGTGGTTCTTTTTTTTAAGTTATTAGTTCCCTTCTTTATATGTACCTCTCGTCTTGTGGCTTTGCTTTCATTGCTCTATTTCACAGGAAGATGTAAAAGTAAGAAATGAAACAGCTAAAAATAAACTGGACATTACGCCGCCTTCAGACCTAATATTCATGTGACATCAGTAGGACTCCACTGTAGTTTATTCAATACTTGCTTTTCTTCCAATAGCGTTGACTGATTGATCAAAGGGGAAGGAAGAGGATTTTCCGCATGATTGAGCGAGTTTTACTTCTTGTGCAACATGGGGAAGAAGAACTAAGACGAGTATTGAGAAGTGAGTGGAAGGGCCCACAAGGTGAAGCGCAAACATTACAGTACGCAGAACGAACGGCAAAGGTCAGCACCTCCCCGCTAACACAGAAAAACTCTCACTGTGCGTCATGTATCCCTCAGGCAGCGTGCCAAAATGTCAGCGATTCCTCTGATGCGCACAGATTATGGGCACATGCAGACATCAGAGATCTCTGGCGGCTGCTAGATTAGAGAGCTCCTGTTGGATGACCTCCGGCACGAAACGCACCACATCCTGTCATGCACCGAGAGGGAGCTCCAGTTTCAACATGAATGCAATTACCAGTAAAGCCACAATTACTGGCACACACACACACACACACACACACACAGACTGAAACCTCAGAGAGCATCAGTCTGACCTATGGTACCACCCGCATGCTGACATATATTAATGAATATATGTAAACTCAGTGCAACAGCAGATATGTGAAAACTCACCGCTGGACGACTTAACTGTTGCTCTCACTTGAACACACACACACGGATATAACCCAAGTGTGTAATTTGCATTTTAAGGCGGTTTAAAAATTTTGTGCGTGACAGTGCGTCGGTGCATCTTTGTGTCAGATACAGCAGAGAGGGGAGACGTGTGAGAGACATGCATGCGTGTGAGCTACAGAGAGGAAAAAAAAGAGATGCAGACAGGATGAAAACATGCATGTGTGTGTTTATGTGTTAAATGTTCTGCCCTCGGGTCAGTGTGCTCCGCTCTTTGCTAGATAAAAGCCACTCAGTGTCTATTAATACACCCAGGACAGAGGATCAGAGCCCCTCTTGTCTCCCTTTTTTTTTTTTTTACCCCTCCTCAGCCCTGCCATCCATCTCCTCTCTGCTCTTCTTACCTCCCTCCCCACTGTGCTCCTCTGCCTCAGACTGGAGTGAATTTTCAACACCAAATATCTCCGGCCCGTTTCCTTTGTGTTCTACTTTTAAATCTGTCCTCTAACGTCCTTCTTTGCTGCTGACGAGGTTGAGACGCAACTAAATAAGACACTGAATTTGAAAGTGGCGTTGGTGTCGGGCCATGATTCTCAGTTCTGGTGTTTGAAAAGTATTGCAAACCTAATCACCATTTACAGGACGGCTACATTTGTCCTAATGTGCAGATCGAGCAGCTGAGGCTGATTATGAGAGAAGAGACCTGAACATAACGTAGACCTCAAAATATTCCGAGGAAACTTCTCAGGATGAACAGTCGATGGAGAGAAACGTTTAAAACTTGTGAGTCGTAGTTTCCTGCTTCGTCTCACCTGCATGTCGGAGTTGGTGAAGGTGCATCCGGATATGTAGTTGGTGTGCATGGCGACCGTTTTCTTCTTCGCAGCGAGGTTCTCATTACTGTCCAGTGACAGCGGGATCACTGAGCATTTGTTATCCAATCCGCTTTTGGGAGAGACAGAAAACACGAGTTCAATAATCAACATATTTACACGTTACACTTTATACCGATTACTGGCAGCACTTTTTAATCCATGTGTTACTGTTTACTGTTATGCATTTAGACACCAAGTTAAGTTCCTTGTATGTGAAGACCTACAGTCGTCCTCAAATGTATTCATATCCTTCCATTAAAGAAAAAGCTAAACTCACAATAGTCACTCAAATAACTAGAAACTGAAAAAAGTAATAATAAATAAAAATTTGCTAAATTATAATTTAATGAAATAAGATTGTTGCTGTTGAATTGTGGCTGAAAAGAATAATTAAAAAAAAAAAAAACTGTCCCTGACAAATTAGAGCACTTTGCTGATGAGCAGTGAAATCAGAATACCTGTCAACAGGTGCAGAAGTCTGACTGAGAGTTACAGAAAACACTTGATGGCAGTGATTGGCTCAAAGAGTTGTTCAACTAAATATTAGTTTATCCCATCATGCTTGTTTGCTTGTTTTGTTTTTTGTTGTTTTAAAAATAATATTTCTGTTGAACCACAATTCAATAGCAATGTCATGATTTTCATAAAATTTTGATTTATTATTACTTTTTTCAATTTCAGCTTATTTCAGTCACACCTGTTCTGTTTCCTTCTTTAATGGGAGGCGATGAATACATCTGAGGACGACTGTACTTGGCAATAAAACTAGTGATGCACGATATTCAAATTTCTGGCCGATACTGATGTCCGATATTAAGATTTCTGATATCGCCGATAACCAATATTACCGATGTCGATATTCAGTTTTTGTTCATGCTGAAAAATTAGTCTAAGTAAGCACTGTGAGAACAGGAAACTATTTAAAAGAAGCCCACATTAGACCACATAGTCTTTATTACATAACAAAAGTAAAACATATTTAAACATATTTAACGTTCAAGTCCAGGAACATTTCAGTAAAAACATCTGTGAAATATATCAAATGTAGAGCTGAAGGCGCTGATGTTAGACAATCATTGGTTTTTCACATCGGCTAAATTTGTTCATCGGCCCGATACCGACACATGGGAAAAAACTATATCGGCCGACACCGATGTAGTCGTCTGATTCTGAGTAAACCTGGTTGTCATCGTTCATTATTGTAGATTAAACAGTGTACAAATGCAAAGTTTATGGTATTGAAACAGCCATCTTATTCAAAATGAGTTTACAGTATTCAAAAAGTATAACTCCAGGTGTGTAAAGCAGGAGATGCTTGGAAAAGAGCCTCTGCAGCCATAAACTATCTTTAAAAATTTATAATTTCTCTCTCATGTCAGTAACAACTTTCTCTTTTCCAAATGTATTTTACTTTAGAGGGAAGTTGTCCGTTTTTGATTGTTGGAAAGAATGTCTGTCAGTTAACATATGTGATTAAAAAACAGGTTTAAAACATTCTGTGCACTCACCCACATGCTACAGCACAACCGGAGGGAGCATAAGCACACGCCATGACCCACGTAGTCGGCATAGTCATCCCATGCTCCTGCAGGAGACACGCAAAGAGACGCACAAATGCATTAATAAGAGAGAAACATTTATTAGCAGAAAGGAAAGAGACATTTTATTTAAGAAGCATGAACCTGCCACTCTTCTGTCCCACACAGAGACAGCTGACACGGTGGATCTGGATGATGTATTAACAGGGATTAGGTCCAGCGTGGTTCTGTCTGCTCCATCAGGAGGCTGAATCTCAGCCGTCATTTAAGTGCACTCAAGCACGCGTTCACACACATTCGGTCATAACGGGGGGGGACAGATGGAAGGATAATCTTTTAACGCATATTTCCATGTGATGGCGTCCCCTCTCTCTCTGGGATGAGTTTGGGAGCACCGGACGACCCGCTCAACACCAGCACATATGGTGGAGAGGACACGGGCACGTGAGCGTCCAGAGGAAATAAAAACACTCTGAGCCTTATATAACCGAGCAGAGCAGTGGCTGAGGTTGTATTGGGCAGCAGTCAGGCTTCTGGAAGTAACAGTCCTATTCAGTCAGTCCCCCTCCTCCAAAGACCCTTCATTTGGATGGACATTAAAGTTGGTCTTTAGATTTATGTGAAGAGATATTATTGAAAACAGGATGTGAGTCTCCTACATAGACACATTAATGTAAAGCTTCATGTGAACTTAAATCACTGTTGTTGTGCACACATGAAACCAGAGCTTCCTCATACATGTTGGATCACTTCACTGTTTTAAATCTAGTGAAGGAATTCAGTGTTTCTGCTCTTTGAGGCCAATGATCAACGCAGCATTTACTGATTTATGACACATCTAATGGACAGAGATTTTTTATTTTTTTTTAAATATGAAACATTTATAAATGATGGACTAAATAATTCAACAAATGTGTGTGTTGGTGAACTGATTACTGAGGTTCTTGTGAAAAGAAACTTTTAACCATCATGAAATAAATGCCAGAAAATTCAAATTTTGTGAAACAGAAGTGTTTATTGAACCTTCTGACAAATTAAAGAATTAAAATGAATGAAAACTTGCATTTATGAGTTTTTATTTGTCTCATTGTTGCTACATCCAGCATTTCTGGTGCATGAATTACTGCTCCACGGTGGATGATTGGATCTGAGTGTATACATCAGGTTGATCAGGAAAAACAAATCTCTCACTGATGCTGCAGAGGTTTCAAAACCTCTTGTATCAAATATGATCGATTCGACTTTACAGATGAGTCGTTTTTTTCAACAAAACATTTAACATCCGGCCCCTTAAGTTCAGTTTTCTCTTTAATATGCCCAAAAAAAACCCACACATAGAAGTCAACTCACCTTATTGAGAGTGAATCCATCCCAGACGATCACTTTTCCATCCTGGATGAGAGAAACACACATACGAAAACTCATCAGTCAGACAGTGTGTGTGTGTGTGTGTGTGTGTGTGTGTGTGTGTGCAGCTGTGTACCTGTGAAGAGCTGACCAGGCGACGTTTGTCTTTGCACCAGTCCATACACAGCACCTTGTTCCCGTGACCCTTCAGCACCCGCCTGGTCTTTATGGACAGAGCACCCACCACCTCCACCTTCTCCGCCACCTGGTGCACTGAGGGACCACACACACACACACACACACACACACACACACACACACACACACACCAGACATTAAAACCTTGCAGTGAGGGGAGACACACTTAAATCATTCACAAGCTCTGTTCAAGTTCTTCATTCAAAAATATGACTGAAGCAAAAGTACAGCAGTAGAAGAAGTATTCAAATGATTTAGTTTAGTTAAAGCACCTGAACACGTAAAGATGTTCCACTACGAGTAAAAAATCCTGCATGAAAAGTCCTACTTTAGTCACAGTACATAAGTATGAGCAACATAATGTAGCTACAGGTGAGGCCTCTCTGACTAACATACTGTTATATGTGTGCTGTTGTTAGATGAGTTAGTAGTGGTGGAGCATCAGTGTGTCTGCAGCAGGTGGAGCTACTTGATCTACTGTGTGGATAAATTATAGATAATATCCAACAAAATCACAGAAAACAAAACAAAAACAAAAAACATGTTGGCTGTAAAAACAAAACAAAAACAAAAAAAAACAGCAAAACTACATTATTTGAAATAAAAATGATCTGTTTTAAGGACTGAAAAATCATTTTCTAACTGTTATGTCACTGATGTTCTCTGTTTTGTAAACTACAGATGCTATCCTGTAAAATCATACAAAGTATTCACTCACATGTCGACACCAAAGGCTGTTTTTAGGAAAAGCACATGTTTTTATGACAATGTGTAAATTTAACTTTTTTCCTGAATTCAAATCTTCCAAAAATGATTATTTATCAGATATTTGCTGCTGTTTGGAGATGTGTTGTATTTTTAAAGCATCCCACCAGTTCTTAACAGTTTAGTTTTTACCTCCAAACTTAACTTCTAAACAACAAGCAGACTGAATGAGTTTCACTTTCATCACATTAACCTCCTTCATTAACAAATACAAACTCTCCAGAAGCAGCTAGAGGAAGGCGGAGAGCAGCAGCTGCACGTTTCCACCAGACGGTCAGACGGACGGACGGTGGCTGGTCTGAGGCGGACTTACGCTCCACGTCGTTCAGCTTTCCTCGCTCCTCCTCCAGCTTCTTCTTCAGACTCTCGCATTCTCTCTTCAGATTCGCCAGACTTTCTCCTTTCTGCAGCCCCTGACAGGCCATCTTTAGAGGAGGGAGGACACGGGAGGAAACGGGAGGAAACGGGACGGCGGGTTAAAGGTTTGTTCCAGCGGTCCTGGACAGAGATGCTGCTCCGCTCAGCCTCCTCCTCCTCCTCCTCCTCCTCCTCCTCCCGCTCTGTCCTGGTCTCCTCTCTGATGCGGCGCAGAGCAGCGCAGCTTTATGAGGGTAAAACTACACTTCATTTTAATGAGCCCCACGTGACATAGCAGAGACCTAAATAAATAAATAAATAAATATTTTTTTTGTTTGTCTTTTTTTTATTATTATTTTTTACAGATTTTCTCATATTGTTGAAACGCATAAAAAATATTTTTTTTCAAAGTTGTTCATTTAAATTTAAAAAAAAAAAAAACCTGGATAATGATACATTTCATTATTTAAAACAAAACGCATTTTTAATTTTTTTTTTCTATATTTCTCACAATGTGACAAATATTTCATTTGATAAATGTTCCCCCCCTTTTTTTTCATGTGATTAAGTCTAGAAAATGTATTTAAATGCTGTAACATGACTGTAGTTTTTATAGATGCTTAGTCTCTATATTTAACTGTATCTATTTTGGTGCCCCAGCTGTTGGATTAATGCTTTCTTCTTTCTTTCTTTTCTACTTTTGTTTTTACGCTGCATAAACTACTGTTCATGACTGTTTCTCAGCTCAGGACTCCCTGATCCATTTTTAATTAACTGTAGTTCTTTTACTATGAGGACACTTCCTATTGGAAAAACAAACAAACAAACAAAAAAAATTGTAAAAAAAAATAAAATAAATGTAAAAATCTGATAATGTTGCAGGGTTGCTATAAAAAAATGTGACAATAATGACAAATGTGGAACAATATATATATATATTTTTAGTGAATTCATTTACAGTAAAACTGTATTTTTAGGGTCAGTCTTTGTTAAATGTTAAAACTGCAAAAATACAAATTTTAGATGTTATTTACAGTTTTGGCCTTATTTTTAACAGTCAAAATGTAAATCCATGTAAAAAAAAATAGGACTGACATATTTTTTAAACATGTTTTGAAAATGATTTACTGATCATTTTATTTCATATAACTGCAAGTATTAGTGAAATAATGGCCATTTTTCTGATTTAACTATTAAAAAGGGGGACTTTGAAGTCAAATGTTGTAAAAGAATGAATTACCGTTTGTAAGAACACAGATTTTTGATGTGAACACCATTTTCAGTTTTGGCCTGTTTATTTCTTGTTACAGTTAATATACAAATTAATGTTTTTATTTCTTTAACTTTACCAGTTATTATCTGTAATTTACCAAAACAGAGCAAACCTGTGTAATTAAAGTCTGTTTTTAAATGCAGTCAAAAAACAATTCATGTATGTTCTGAATACTAACTTGTAATTATGAATATATATTAAATATACTAATAATTCCATTAGTTGATGTGATGTGGCCTCTATGTGAAACGCTCCACCTTCATACAGCGTAGAGCAGGCTGAAGATGATCATTATTATAATTTAGTAATGACTTTAAACATTAGCAAGTTCAGTAATGACACTGCAAAATATTAACCAGCTGTCCTTTTCTGCAAATTAATTTTAAATGAAAGTTCCTCTAATAAATTACACTTCAATATGAGTTGCTCGTTTTTACCCGAGGGGGTCATTAAAATATCATTTCATAGAATCATTACATCAGCTCTAAATTTAGGCAGCGAGACTCACACCGGGGTGAGACGACCCGCTGGAATGATTCTATTGGTGCGAGGAAATCAAAGAAAGTGGCTTTCAGGTTGTTTTGACAGTACAAAATAACCTTTATGTAGAAATACACATATAGACACTCTTTTTTAAACTGCCAACATGGGAGTCATGTGGACGGTTATCCATCAGCTTGAACTAAAAAAAAACTTTTTCTGCAGAGGAGGAGGACTGCTGAGGGAAGACAAGCCCTGACAGAATCATTGCCCTGCTCATCTTAGAGTTGTGATGCAGTGACATTAAAGCTGAACAGAATGCATCACTGCCAAACCATTTTATTAAACAATCCAAATTAATCTCTGCACATGTGATCGAACACTAGTGCTGCAGTTATTGTAAGTGCAACATCAAAAGTTTGAAATAAAATCAATGTTATGCACGAGTGACAAGTTTGCATTGATCTAAATTACCCTAGGCTATATTGTAAAAAAAAAAAAAAAAGTTGTGTGTCTGTTTTTAAGTTCATTCAATCAGACATCACACCTCCAGCCTGGGGTGACTTTAGGGTTGCCAGGTCTGACCTGATGCGTGTTGCTGTGGGTTACATTTTGAATTCTCCGGTTGGGTTGATCTTTTTTGAACACAGATTGCATCAACAATATCCACACATAAATAAAAGCACACATCTTAATCACACTCTGTCACACAGACCTGGCAACCCTCCTTCATAACCGAGCAGCTCAGTAAAGCCACAGAGCTGAATATGTTGAACCTGCTTTGTACAGATTTTAGGAGGCGGCTCATCGCTCTGTGTGTGTGTTCTAGACACATGAACACATCCAAGTGGAGGCTCCTTAGTTTAACAGATGCTGCACAAAGTGTCACATCAAAGTGAAGTGTTCCTACACATGTAGCGCTTCAGCTAATATCAGAGCCTCTAGATAAATAAGAGTAGAATCCTCCTGTATCAGAAGCACAAGAATGAAATATGTGCAGGTTTTATTTCTCATTAGAAATAAAATGTCAGTTGTTATTGGATTGTTAGTGAGCAAACCACTGAGCCAAAGTCAAACTTCTAGATAATTCCTACTTTTTTAATGCTTTGTTGTCTCAAAAAGACAACACTTTAGGTCATATTAAAAAAAAACAAGGTGAAATAAACAATTAATTAATCGACTGAAACGCTGCAGCAGCCGTTGGTGAACTTTACCACTTCCACGCAGAAGGAGCAGTAGTTGATGGCCTCGTTCTTGATGTAGATGTTCATCAGAGGACTGGCAGTAGTGCAGTTGTCGCACGGGCCAAAAGTGGCCGCCACGAACGTCTGGTCACACATGGCTGCAGGTGATCAGCGGCACACCTGGAAAACCAACACACAGGTGAAGTCAGAGCTCCACATCACAGCATGGAGGCTTTTACTCTATTGCTTTTTAATTTGAGGCTCTTTTCATTTGTGTGCTGGACTGTGACCACTTGTATGTGTTTGTGTGTGTGTGTGTGTGTGTGTGTGTTGCACTGGAGATAAGCAGCTGGTAATCTAGTCCAGCCTGATCCTTCTCAGAGCTGCAGAGAAGAGCAGCTATTCTGGGAACACACAGTTCACACTCACTGTATCTCTGAGGCGCTGCATGATGAAGGACTTCAGCACTAAATATGGTCGTGCACGTCACAAACCTGCCTTCTACGACTCCTGTAGCTTCACTTCACAGCCCTAGCTTGTTTTAGAATTACACATTTGCCAACATAAACATGAACATTCCTCACATGACACAATAAGACATCAATGTGATCACTTCTCCTCATTTTGTCCTGTTACATTTAGTTACAAATACATTTAGTAAATCACCTTTTAAAGTGAATAAAGCTCATGAACTTTTCGGGCCTTCCATTGACACCAGTATAATATACAGTATACATCATTTCTATACAGAATGAAGTCATGTCACATCAGGGATCATGTGAGGCATTTTATTTCATGTTCCAACACAAACACTCAGTTTCCTCTTAAAGCCTCAATTTAGTTTGTAGCTGGATCATCACAACTGATCACTTTCTGCTGGTAATTGGTAATTATTAAGGTTTTTGTCCTAAATGTAGAGAACTTTCCTTGAGAATGATCTATCAGCTATTTTTCTGTATGTATTTTGCAGGTTTTTAACTAAAACACATGTTCAGCCACGACAGATTTTACAACTTAGCGACATGTATACATACAAACATCAGCTCTGGCAGGATTTATTTCCACCTTTAACTATCGTATCAATGTTAAAAACTGAAGGATAAATCTCACCTTACAGGAGAATGCTTGTCGTTGCTCCGTGCGGCAGCTACCTGGAGACGTAAGAGGAGTTTTGAAGAGGATTGACAGAGAGGGGACAGTAAGCTTCTTAGCAAAGTGTTTAAGCTCTGCTCTGCTTTTACCTCCAGGCTTCGTACCTTCCTGCAGCTTTACCTGCAGGGCCTGGAAGGTTGCTTCTACCGTGTAATCCAGTACATGTAAAATGAAAAAGTCCTTTCAGCTGCATCATGTAATGCACTTTGCCTCTGAATAACAGAAAAGTCTGAATCTCAATTCAAAGGCTGAATTTTCATCAGTGTTCAACCCCTGAAGACCCGGCGTCCACATCACATCACATTTTGGGTTGGATTACCAAAGTAGTTAATTTTTATTCTCATTTATTGTCTCTCTCTTTTGCCGTTTAATCAGATCAAATAGCAAAGAGAAACAAAAAGTGCAGCAAACACGAAGAGGTTAAAGTACAACTGGATGAATTAGTGGATAACTTTGAATTAAATGGCCAAAGTATTTGGAGAACACATTCATCACTGAGTAAATTCTCTGAGTACAGCTTCTTATATTTAAATATTTTCAGGTTTCTTTACTCCTTTATGACAGTAAGCTGAATATCTTTTGATCACTTGAGGAGATCTTGAGCTTTGGGAAACACTGATGAACCTTCAAATTAAAAAAACAAGCAAAAAAACAAAAAAAACAAAACAAAGGTCAGATTACTGCTAATGAAAATAATTTAGTTGCAACACTAGTTTTGTGAAATGTACCACGTGTTTGCTGTTATTACTCCTGCATTCTTCAGCTCCTTATAATTCAGAAAAATGAGCTTCTAGGAAATGACACAACTTTTCCAACAAAGATCATCGCTGCAGGTTGTTGTTCTGTTTTGTTGCCAACAGAATATCCCAGATTGCTTTTGTTGTGTTATATGACTAAAAGAACCACATCCCCCTGCAGATAAGAGCCGACACAAAAGACCTCCCGCTGACACTCCCACAGTGTTGAATTCTTTTATTTTACTTTTACAGATTTGACAATTTATTCCAAGTTTCTTAACGGTGAACACATTCACTAAAGCACAGCTACCAGAAACTACAAACAGTCCAGTTTGTCAAATGTACACATGGGGGTTTTTTTTTGGAGAGGAAACAGGTGGCACCGGCTTCACAGCGGTGCCACAACAGCTGGGGGCGATGACACGTCTTCTGATTTGAACTTTTTTTTTTGTTTTTTTTTTCAATTTTTAAAACGGCACAATTAACGCTAGTGCTCATAAGAACGATGGTAATTTATAATGTCTACGTCGTATCGTACAACCAACTCTCTCCTTCGTGTAGAAACGCAGAGTGAAGGAATGGCATTGTCTCCTGTTTGAGAGCCAAAGAGAAGCCCAGGGGAACAAGACGCTGCAGCAGCTCTGCTCAAAGAAACTAAATGAATGAAGGATTTTTTTGAAAACTAGGCCAGTCTTCTGTCCACTCCATACAGTCTGAGCTGCACGAGTGTGTCTTCATACCTGTGGCTAATAAAACAGCAAAGTGAAGGCAGGGAATGTGCTGGAAGAAGCTTAACGGGGCCACATTTGTGTAAAAAAAAGTATAAATCAAAGCAAAACAAAGCTACTCGGTGTGAAATATTTCCTTTTACAGTCCATCCCCATCTATCTCTGATCAGACTTCCTCTGCTGAGTTGAAAAAGTGCATTCTGGCTGACAGATAAACAACAACCCATCTAGAGACACCGACTGCTGGACAAAAAGGACATCAAAAATAAAAATGATCACATTTAAACAAGATATATTCATTGTACAGTGGAAAAGAAACAAACAAAAAGAAAAATACTGCACGGACAGAACAGAACAGAACAACGCCACGATGCTGATAATGTGTAAGTCATTCAGATAGCAAGTACTTCAGATAAGGCTTCGTCTACAAATGTGCAGCTAAAAAAAAAATCATGATACACTTCATTGTTTAAACATTCATATGCTTGATTAATTCCTTCAGTTGCCGTCTTTCTTGGTACAACCAGCAGATACGTTCTCTTTACACAAGCTGTACGTTCTACTACCTACACATCCAAACAATACGACCAAAGGCTGCTCGACAACATGTGGTCCCGATGAGAGGAGATGGGTTTGTTCTTAAAGACAACACAAAATAGCTTCACAACTTCTCTTTACTGCACTTAAAACATGGCATTTAATGAGATATTTCACCTCCATAGATTTACTCTCTTCATGTGCTGTTTCCCTGCTTTTGTGGAAAGTTGGTGAAAACAAGAGTTTGGTTCAAAATCTCCTCCACGCGTGAGGAGACAATATTGCATCCAAGTGAAACATCTTTTTTTTTGAAAGGTCAGCGGGTGACATAAGGTTCACGTGAGGGCAAGAGGCAAACGTGGTCGACTGTTAATACTGACGGCACAATGGGAAGTAAGTGCTAAACAGGAGGCAGCAGGGAAGACGTGAACGCAGACAAAGGGCTCTTTGTCACAACATGGGCAGAATACCTGACACTCATCCAGCCACTCTCAACTGCACTGTGGTTTCTCTTCATTAAAAAACAAAGAAAACATGCAGGTTAATTTCTGTAGCTGGTAATTGTGCTGAAGCCAAGCCCATGCAGGTTAGATGAGGACAGTAGAAGCAGCAGCAGCAGCACATGCTCTGTGGTTTACACACTGTCTTTGAATTGAAGGACCAAATATTATGTCTGGAACCGAAACTATCTGCGCACCGAAAGACCACCCTGGACTTTGTGCAATTGAGATGTGGAAGAAGTGCAACATATTCTGTATTTTTTTTTGGTAATAAAAGCCCATGTTGTGCTTTCTTGGCCGCTAAACAGGAAGGCAAAGGGTGGAGATGTGACAGGAATCGACCCGCGGAGCTGTTAGTGTTCATGTTGGGGAAACCAGCAGAAGAAAAAAAAAATGTAGTAAAGCTGAAGAAACTCTGCTGAACCAACTTTACAAAAAGCCTCTCCTGTTCATTCTGCTCAATAATACATGGCTTTACAATATACATAAGAAAAGGACAATACTGAAATAAATAACTACATAATGACAATAGTAAAAACATTTTTCATGGTTCTGACTGGAGCCGTGGCCCGAAGAAGACGATTACAGAGAGAGAGAAGAAAAAGAAGCAGTAAGCAAAGTGTAAAGCATATGTCTGAGTGTATGAGTAAACCTCTCTGACGCTCGGCTCTGGCCACAGCTGTAAACGGTAGAAATCGGAGCAGGTTCGAGGGTTTGAACCGTCTCTCCTCGTCTGTGCTACGCCTCATCTGCCACAAACTGAGGCTAAAGATGGTAAAGCGACATCTCTAAGTTTAAGACCTAACAAATGATCTGTGCCGGCACTCGTTAAACTACACTACATAATTTACCTGATATTGACATAAATAGCCTACAACGCAACTAAAACTTAACCCGTCTTTACAGAGCTGTTGGGAAATGGTGCTCCCCCCTCCCATCCCACATCACTTCACACGCATCTTCTGCAATGAGAAAGCTTCTAATCTTAAAAAGGGAGGGCGCAGGTAAGTGCAATAAATAAAATACAGGATATATACTATTCGTATTTATATATATTTATTTATGTATAAATAATATAGTACAGATGATGAGCTTAGTCTTGGCTTGACTGTGTTTTCAGAGAATCAAATGAAACCTTGTCGGCGGTTACCTCGACGTCGGCTGGAGAGAGAGCTAACCTTTGCACATTATCACTCGACTGTCTTCGTAGCAGGACTCACCCAGCGCCTCGCGTTGGGTCTGCGCTCGCGTATCGGTGCAAACATTCTCACCGGAGAATGAGACGATAACAACAACGACTACCTTAACCGTTAACGGAAACACGGAGGAGGGATCGGACCCGGGAAGAGCGTGTACTGGAGGCATTGATCTGGTCCTGTGGCTTCTCTAAGAGGCGGGCGTTTATACAAGCAGTGGACGGATGCTGGCGATTGAAGGACGGATTTAACTGTGGTTTGCTGTGTGTGTGTGTGTGTGTGTGTGTGTGATTTTTAAAGAGAGAAGGTGCACGTGAGTGTAGTCGTGCATGTGTACGCCCAGAGGATGAAAGTACTGTACAGATGTGAGGTTCAGCATGTGTGTCATGTTGGCATGTGAGTCCAGATTTAGACCAGAGACACTGGTGAACATTATAAATGGTTATTTTTTTGGACATTATTTCAGGTTGTGCCAATACAAACATCTAATTTTGGAGTGTATGTGACCCTCAGAAACACCTTTTCCATTTCAATTTTGGGCCAGAGGGTGGCATGTGACTTGGATTTCCGACAGAATGGCTGCAGGGCTCGGATCGGTCCTGTGGGCTCGGGTTAGACACGGGTGAGGAACGCCAGGTTGAGCGAGCTGGGGATCTGGATGGTTTCCAGGGCGAGGGAGGACGGGTTAAACGGGAAGGTGACGGGATATATCATCTTCGTGTCCATCAACAACTGGGGACTCTCACAACGGTCTCGTAGGCGAGTCTGTAGGGAAAGAAAAAGGAGTTGGAAACAGCTCATGTGCATAAGACAAGAGACTAAAAGATTTTGTTAAATGAATCATACTGCAGATCGACATCGGCCTACTAGCCAGGAAGCTACAGTTTAGCTTTTTAATAAAAATCATTTTAAGTTACTTAGGTGCAAAGTTTTCAAATTAAAATTATATAATTGCAAAATTATCATCATTCCAAGAGCTTTAACTGTAAGTAAAAGAGGAAATCTTGGTGAAAGCTGCTGCTTCAGACTTTCTACTCTGTATCCACGGGTCAGATCTGCGGGAGCTGACTTGATATCAAGACAGAAAAGTGAAACATCTTACACATCGTGGGTCAACAAGTACGAACCTGTTTTCACTGTTATAAAAGCTACTGTTGCCTGATAGTGCAGTTTAAGGTCAAACTCATTTGAAATGTGCAAAAATGTTTCAAATGGCTGAGAGGAAGAAAAGTACTTTTAGAACCATAAATATAACACTATCATCTGTTCAGGACAATGTTGGCTAGTAAAGACGAGGACCACCAATTTAATGGCACGTTGGTAAATGTGAAATATTAGTGAAATCTTGTTACTGTTATCACAGAATGTTAAGTTACTGTTAAATGAAAGTGAAAATAATGAGATCAAAGTGGTTTTACAGTGTAGAATAAATAAAAACGTTACCTGTATGGTTCGTATGAATGCAACCGACACTCTCTCCTCAAACTCGTTGACCGGGGTGTAGAGGTTCAGGACCTTCACGATCTGAAAGAGATAGAACACAGAAAAGTTACAAACAGCACTAACCAAAAAAAAAAACTGAGTGCAGTGGCTGGGTTTTTATTTTGTTTTTAGCTTTTAGACAAAAGCTGGGTGTAGTTTAACCCTTTATGGGCCAAGTGACCATATCTGGTAACTTCCTTGGACGTTCAATATGTCCACCCTGTGCCTCTCCTTGAGGTTGAAGAACCATGTGTGTAGTTTTTATATTAGTGCCAATATCACTACCTTATGAAAAATGGCACTAAACAAATGTTCCAGGCTCTTTATAAAAGCTTTGTTACTGGTTTGCATTGAACTCCACTTTGATTTATTTTTTGAGATCAGTCCCACTAAAACCCCAAGAACAACGTTACTGAAGGAACTTTCCAAGCACTTTATAAATACTTTGTTACTGGTTGTGTCAGTATCATTACCTCACACTAAAATGTTTCTAAATAAATGTTTTTGCAGTTTGTTACTTTTTTTTTTTTTTTAACCATAGACGGGCAAGTTACCATATATTGTAACTTTATTAATCTTGATTTGCAACATTTTTGTTTTAAGTCACAAAAGTAAAAATATCTTGAAATATCCTTCAGTAACAGCCTCGGGTTGAAATGTTCATTTTCCAAATATTCCAAGGAGTGCCCTATAAAGGGTTAAAGACAGGAGGGTTTACCTGAGCAGTGGTGAGGGCCAGGCACATGGAGCAGATGGCCTCGGCATCCTCATCAGTCTTCTTCTTCACCTGCAGCAGCTGAGCAGCCTGGATCAGAGGCTCCAGTGTCTCTTTGGCTCCGCAAGTCATCAGACCTTTGTCTCTGAGCCACTCCTCCAGCTGGCTCACATTGTACCTGCACACACACACACGCATTGTAAGTTCAGTGGACACAAGAAAAAGAAAAAAAGAAAAAAAAAAAGGACAACACACATTAAGTCTCCCTCTATCATTTGTCTGTGAGCCTCTACACCTCCTACCTGATCTGCATGCCTTTGCTCCAGGAGCACATGTCTTTGCGTAGCAGCAGGTTGTTGAGGGTCACGGCTCCGATGATGTAGAACTGCTGCTTCACCACCTGCTTGATGAGCTCGGGGTCGGTGCCGTGTTGGCACATGGTGGAGTGGAAGGCGCTGAGCTGCCGCAGGATGGAGTCCAGGGTGTAGGTGCCCTCGTCGGCGATGCTGGACGTCCTCTTACGCAGACCTGTGGGCTTCACCCCTGACACGCCCTGGATGGTCTCGTGTTCCAACATGCCAGACACTGGAGGGAACACAGGCACACTTAACCGCTATACTGAGGACGTTTCTGTCTGTACACAGTAAGAGCAGGGCTTATGATCAATACTGTGATCAATACTGCAGTAGCACTGCATGACACACACCGATCATGGGCTGGAGGATGTTCTCCATGCATTTGATCAGCTGCTGGTAGATCTGGATGGCAAGGTCGCTGATGACTTGTCTGTATTCTGCCAGGTCGAAGTTGGACAGAGAGTGCTCATTCTGCCTGGATGTGTTGTGCTTCATGAATTGCTGAGAGACGCAGAAAAATGTGTGTTAGGAAGGTTCAAGTCAAATAATAATCATGCAAGTCAACAAAATAGGAAATACATATTATTATATTGAATAATGTGTGTCAATATCAGTCCCAAACACTTGTATTCCAAGTTTTTTTCTCTGTTCTATTGCAAAATAATAGAAAAAAGAAAATGCATTGATATCGCAGGAATAACTCTGAATGTATCACAAAAAACTACAATTTTATTCTCTCCTATTACCACATATCTACATACAATACATAACACTGATAAATATTTAGACGTCTCATTAAACTGAAGAGAAGCATTAATCCTGTTTCTGAATGTGTGTGTAACAGAGAGAGACAGTTTCTATGATTGAGTGCGTAATGCGTTGATCTCACCTCGTCTCCGCTGTACTGCTTCAGACAGTGCAGGAAGCGACAGGTGTTGGCCAGCCAGAAGGACACCGTCTCAAAGTCGTCTCCTCGTTTCTGAAAGTAAAAGGAAGAATACAGTATGGTCAAAGAAAACTTTTTCAGCTCAAAACATACTGCAACCAACAGAAAACAGCTGGAGAACTGCAACCCAAAGTTAAAGGGATTACCCGCGTAAATTCACTCAGCAGATGTTATGTTCCAGCTGAAATGACTGAAGTCTGACTTATACAGGTGTTACATCCAACATACATACCTTTAAGATCTTTTTGATGCTGTTGATGGTGGATGTCAGCAGAGTGCGGACCTTCTGGTCATCATTGACATAGTCTGCATGTCTCAGACACATGAACAGGATGTAGGCTGGCAGACCAGGGATCAGATTCACGGCGACACCACGAGGCTTCAGCTCTGCAGAGACAGAGGAGGACTGAGTTTAGTGGAAATACTGTTAGATTTTGTGAACAAACCAGTCATTTTGAAGAGATGAGATTAGTTTCAGGGATTTTGTTTCTAACTCTTTACTGAGAAAGACCTACATAAAACAGACGACTGGGTAGATTGGCTGATGTGAAATCCATACACTTGCGACTCAGTAATTCCTCAAACTGCAACCCCAGAGAAACACTACAAGGTCTAAGAAAAACGTCCATCACTGGCTCTTACCCAGGATAAGATTCTTAACCAGCTTTAGTTCATCCTCCTTCTTGTACTCCAGCATTCCCTGGAAGTCTTTCTCCCTGCGGGGAATGTTGACGGGGTGGATGGGCTCGTCCACCATCTGTCCTGGAGACGTTTGGCCCTCGGCTTGACCGGCTGGGAGGAAACAGTCAGGTAAATTCTGTAGCGTATATCTTTAGATTCTGAAGCTGCAGCTGACAGATGATTTCTCTCTTACCTCCCATCTCCCCAATCCTCTTGGAGTAAACCTTGAGCTGCTTCTTGAGCTTGCGGATGGTTCTGTCCTGTTTCTCCAGCTGCTCCATTAGGTCCTAAAACAGGCCGAGCAACAGTGCGATGGACAGACGGACAGACACAGAGAAGAGATAGAGAATAGTGAGGAACCACTGCAAGCCTCATCTGATACAGACTGCTTCACGCTGCCGCCCTCCAGTGGCAAAAAAGGAGCAATCTGCCACTTTTGTAAATTAGTAAGTTTGCATTGACTAGCAGCTCAAAGACAGGAATCAAAGAGCCAGAAGACAGAGGAAAAATATATTTAAATATATTATAATATCAAGGATAAGAGGATAAGAGGATAAGAGCTAAGTCACACATCTATGACATGGAACCCCTTAAGCCTTGTATTTGGAAAACAAACAAAGCAATTTCAAATTAGTGCTGCTGTGCTGATTGCTTTTTCAGAGGAAGAAGGTTGCAGAACTGTTGCTGGCTGTCAGAAAAGAGAAAAAGCTTCAGAGGTGCTCCGCTGTGAGTTAGCAGACGCTGCTGTAGAGAGTTAGAGCGACACTCGGCGCTACTTCATTCCAAACGCACAACCTCGGTTAGTCCTCACACACACAAACATGCAGGCAAACACACACTGTCTCTACATACAACCATTCGTCGTAAAATGATGACTCGAGCCTCTCGGGATGCTGTGGGGTCTTCGGCCAGGAGTTCCTGTCAGGTGACACCATCCACACAGTTGAGTGTGTGTGTGTGTGATACAGTGCTGCCGGTTATCGTATGTGTGGCCAAAGTGAGGATCAAACCACAAACCCAAAGAGCTCGAGTGACAAAGTTCACACTTCATTAAAGTGCAGGATAGAATTATAGATCAGAATCACGTGGTAACTTTCCTTTTGCTATTTATTGTTTTTATTTTCTAGACAATACGGCTGCATTTCTTATGAGGAGTGATATAATGGAAACGTCAATGATTTTCAGCTTCTTCAAAAGCATTCATTTCAAAGGGTGTTTACTACAGTCAGTGTGCAGCAGAGTCTTGTTTTAAAAGCGGCAAAGTGATTTATTAGCTTTTTCCCTAAAGCCTGAAATCAATACTTTCTGTATTTTTTCTCCACATGACATATGAGGGAAGAATACTAACAAACACTCGCTGTTCTATATCTGCACAGTTGGAGGTCTTCATGTCAGGTTTTTATATACGATCCTGATTGACGGGAAACATTATTTTCTTACGCACTGGTCTTTTTTTGTATATTCGACATGTCTGCAAATGAATGCATATTTAATTAGATAATACTTGATTTGCAAATTTAAGCTCAACATTTCTTTATGTAAGTAATCAACTGAGAAGGTTTCATTCATCAAGGTTTTAGTTTAAATGCTACCCTAATTGCCTGTGGTGGACTCACATTTACCTTCTTGTATTGGTTGCTGACTTCATTCTGTTTAACAGCTGAATACAGACAACAAATGCAACGAGTTATTGTTGTAATTTAAAGGTTTTAACAGACGTACAGATTTCATATCTCAGAGATGTGCCTATTGTGGGCTGCAGGGAGAATTAGATGTAGCTGGTTAGAGTTTACGTTCAGTTAAAGAAAAACAAAATATTAACCCTAAAAAATGCTTTTTAAATTTTTTCCATGTTACAGTTTAACAAACCTTTTCAACAGCAAACTGTCAGTTAATTTTTGTTGTTGTTGCTGGGCAGTTACCTCAGCTCTCGTTATATTACACCTTTAATTTTTTTTAATCCTAATTCTTTATGTGATATTTGTGGGCGTGTTTGTACAGGTGAAGTCTTACTGTTCTATTCCAGACGCTTATATTTTAACTTAGAAACTCTACTGAGACAGTAACTGAGATTTAAGCTGCTGTCTTCCCTCAGCCTGGATGTATCTGTGTGGGAACGTATGCGATTGTGCGTGTACTGTAGCGTACCAGATTCTCGTTGGTGAGCCGGGTGATCTCGTGCTGCAGACTGGCTTCGATTCGGGCCTCTGGAGGCAGCTGGAGGTTTTGGGCCAAGAGCTGCTGCTGACGGTTGTTCTCCTCCTTGACGTTCTGCAGCTCGCCGCGCAACGCCTCCACCTCGCTGTCGTAAGTCCTCCGCTGACTCTGCAGCTGTTGCTCCAGTAACCTGAGGAGGAGGTGGGGAGGAGGGGGGTGAGACCAGAGAGGGGAGGAGGTGAGATGTGCAGAAGAAGAGACAAGAAAAGGAAGCAGATAAGTCAGGTGGAGTGTGTTGGTGAGCAAAGTGTTGGAGAGAAAAACAATCAGCATCAATATGTGAGTGACAGAAAAAAACTGTAAGACTCCCAGTGCTGAGAGAATGAGACATTTAGTGGCTTCCACCAGAGAGAGGCGATGCAGGACAGCAGCAGCATGCTGTGCAGACACGACCAGCAGCCCTGAATCCAGTCGGTCTTCATGACACTCATTCAATCTGCTCAGTCTTTAAGCTCCACTCTTCTCAGGGTGGTTTTGGGAGCGGTCAGGCTCAGAGACAGAGCAGGTAGAGCTGACCGGGGTTTTCATTTGGCAAACAGTTAGCCAACATGCAGTATTCTTCACATTATGGAAACTACAGTAGCAGCTACTACACACTACATGAAAGGTGCCCTGTGGAGTGTTCTTGGCTTCGCTTAGGTTTATTTTTAGCACGCTTTCTGTGCATCCCTGAGGTCTAACAAGTACATTTCCTGCTTCTAAAAACAGTAAAGCCATTTGGTTGAGTGTTTTAAATCTAGCATCATTTCAATCCATGTTTACAACTTGCACTCTTCTTCTTTCCTGTCTACGTGCATCACCGCCTGACACCTCTGTGTTGTCTGTACACAAGAAAACCAAAAACAGCAACCCACTCACACCAAGACATCTCCGTATCAGTACTAGAGGCCTCCACAGGGAACCTTTACTTGGTTGTTTATGTTCTCAATAAAGTTAGTTCATTTCTCCACAAGTAGTTTTAAGGCTGTCAAATAAAAGTAGCAGTCCGACGGTGAAAGATCTGAGTCAAATAGCGTTTGTAGAGAGTTCTCTCAGGACAGGAACACAGAGGTTTTTCTCATCATATTCTGACAACTCGTACGTCGGAAAGTAAGCTGCTGGTGATGAAACCAAATTGATTGGTTTAGGAATCTAGTCCATCCAGCATCACAAGCAACACTATTTGTGAAAAGGTCTGAAGTAGATATTGATTTACGTGAACCTGTAACACTTAGTGGTCTGTTCTTATAATAAATAAGTAAAACAAGGTCAGTGCGAAGAAGGAACATTTTTCTGTACTACAATAAATAAAACCCTCAAAAACCTATTTATAAATTACTATATATTACACATCACATGTAGACATTTGACTTTTTACAGTTTTTTTGTAGCACACAACCCTGTAAAGAACTGTGTGAGAGTTTTTGACAGAAAAATCTCTATTGTGCCACTTTTAAAAAAAATATACATTACTGGTATGTCCTATACAATGAGCCTTTGAGATATATTAAAAAAACATAAAACATAGAACCTAATAAGCAAATAATGTGAGTGTCAGCCCTTGGTCCAAAAGCTTTTTGTTTTTGTGGATTTGCCAGTTAAAACAGTTCTTAAATCTGTCCTCTCAGTCACAACAACCAAAGTACAAGCAATACTATGTGAGAGAAAACTCTGAAAGGTCGATAGAGTGCGTGAGAGAAATGATTTGAATGAAGAAACACAGCAGCACACATCCTTTCCCGTGACAAAAGGCAAACATGTCATGCTAAAAAACAAGAAAATCACGCTTGTGTTTGAAACACAGTTACACCTGATGGTCTCCTTTAAGCCCTGATTAACCAGCCACAGCTCTCCGTCCTCATTCAGCTTATGGAAGTCTGGAGCAGCGGATCTGACCGACACACAACACAAAGGAACATGAACAACACAATAACAAAAAGCAAAATGAGGGAAAGGCTGGGTGGAGTAGGAGGAGGAGGAGTGCAGACTGACAGGAACAAGAAAAGGCCTATCTTTCCCAGAGGTGTGGGTATGTGTGCATGTAAAAACTCCTGTTTATGGACTGTGATGATATTGAAGCAGTAAAATCTGTAGTGTGACATAAACTTAATGTCACTGTAATGGAAAATCTTAACACGCTTCCATTAGTTTATTTATTCCATAACTAACACATTGCATTTCAGCTGATACCACACACTTAATGTTTTATCGCTCTACTGCCTGTAACAGTGGTATCATACTTTCTTTTGTATGTGTAGCCTGCAGTAATGTACATCTAGATGAGCTGTAGCTGTTCTAGTGAATACTGAAATGTACTGATTGAACTCTAATGTCAGTGTGTGAACATCGAAGGGCACAAGCAACAAATGAAGCAGAAAAATGCAGTGATGCAAAGCACAACTTCTGGAGGAGGTATTGTTAGTGACCTGGTGAGTTTCCAACACCTTGTGTACCGTATCTATTATTTAAACAGTGTATGCATGTGTTGTTTAGAGGTCAATGGAATGAGCACAGCTGGCTAAAGTGGAAAGTGGATGTAATAACTGAAAGAAAAACTATGGAAAACATAGCAGGTGTAGTTTTTTTAGTAGGTATCAACACACACTTCCTTCAAAGTGTGCTGTGCATTTCTGCTTCAACACAAACACAAAAACATGGGTAATTTCATGCAGTATTCATGCCAAACTCATTCCATACAGCTGAAGCAGGAGTGCTTCTACGATCGCATCTGAACTACAGGCGGTGTGTGAGTGACTCTGTGAACAAACTAAAACTAAAAGTTGGATCTCTAACAGCTCAAACATTTCCATGCTTTTGTGCCACAAATCAGCTGCTCTAACTACATCATGACAATAAGACCAGAGCTGCTGGATCTATTCTACACAACCTGTAACTTTGCTCTGAGCGAAAACAGAAGCTATGTTGAGTTATCGTGCAGAACTTCAATTCCTTTAATTCCTGAGAAGCTAATAAGTACACACTGTTGACAGTACAAAAGTATATCCTTGTTCTCTTAAATCTACACTGAAGCCAGAGTCGTATGTTATTCATCATGCTGTTAGGGCAGGAAACATCACGCTCAAGCTATCATCAGCACTACAAAGTGAAAACAGTGTGTCAGCTTCGGTAACATCTGTTGTTTTTAACTTTTTCAACCCTGTTCAGCGACAGCGTGGCCATGCATGCTCTGCTCCATGATGCATGGGCCACGTCTCATCGGTTACCTCAGCCTACTCAGGAGATCACTGACTTCCAGCGGCTGACGCATGAACCTGGGAGAGCTGACAGGACAGACAAGGTGTTCACAAACACACACACACATACACACACACACAGTGCTCGCACATACATCATATTTACAGCGGAAGTAAAGCTTAGTGACACATTAAAGTAGACAAATGAAAGCTGATGGAGCCACGGCTTGGAAGAGAGCCAATACAGACATGGAGATGAGGAGGAGAAATGGTGGTAACACAGTACCTGTTGGTGTCTTTGAGGCCTACATAAGCTTGCTTGACTTCAGCATCCTTCAGTTTTGTGACATCATCAGCATACACCGAGGGCTCGGTCATGGTCTCCTAGAAATAATGAGAGAGAAGAAGGACGAGATATTAGCACAGGTTACGACAAACAAAGAGGGACAGATGGGAAAGAATAACAACACATTTACTGACCAAGCCGCTATAGCTGCATAACTATTACTATCACTAATGGAAGTTGTCCTTTCACTGTCAACATCAGTTTAGCTGCAGGCTGTGACTCTTCCTGTCAGCCAGTTGGAGCCTCGGGTCCAACATAAGATGTTACAGTGACAGACATGTATCTATGGAGGAAGGTTGCCTACTGCAGTGGCCTCTTCTTCTAGCTTTTAGAAGACTAGACGTGCTGATAGCTGAGCATCAGCTGATGGCCAACAGAAGCTGAAGGTCACTTGAGATCAAAACTTTGATCGCTTTTGAACATGTTTGAACAGGAAACATGTGACAGCTGTGTGACAGTTTGGTATGAAGACAAGGATCATTTTTATTCGCGCATAATGAGACAGTGGGAGTCAGAACATCTGCACATCTGTTTAGCTACAGGTTACCACAGCAAACACACTGTTTAGTCGCTTAGCTACTCAACAACTAGTAAAACTAATTCAAATATAATGCTCTGCATTCATTCACATTAATACAAAGTCACAGTTTTAGCTCGCAGAGAGCTTTCATTTAGTGGTCACATCTGTCCTCAGGGTCAGAATGTACTGCAAGCTGTGTTTACGAGGATGGATGCAGAAAATCTGCTGTAAAATGACCACTGAGCAAGAACACTTTGTGACATTAAGGGAAACAAAGAGTCCAACAGACAAAGCGCGAGACAGATGAGATCATCAAACCACATACTAGCAAAGATGAGGTCTGAATGTAAAGCCTCTTAGAGTAAGAACACTGATCTTGTGTTTGCTGTCGTTGCTGTTCTCTTTGGTGAAAGTTGTCACGTTAAAGAGAAATTACACTTTTGAACGCATTACTTCTTTACACTTATTGATGTCGGATTTCATGGCCTATCTCCCTCAAACCCGGTTAGCAATTTCCCACATTCCCTGGAGAACAGATGTTAACTTGTTTAATTCAGCATGTGGAAGTAGAAAGAAAGAGTTTCGGTGGTGACAGGAGGAAAGGACAAGAATTAAAGAAAACCAATACCACCATTTTTTCTTTAACTTTTACCGACCGGCACTAAAACTTTTTTAGTTTTAGCAACATGGAGAGTTAATGTTAGCACCTGGCATACAACAGTTTTGGGGTTTTCATGAATTAAGGGCTATTAATTAATTTACTTTAACATTTTGTCCCAGCAGCAAAGGTAAGAGCTGCTCTTGTTTTTGAATAAAACCAGCACAACCTGCGTCATTCTCTTGTTGCGCAGTTTACTGAGATGACAAGTGAAACAGATTCTCTGGGATCAGCTTTCTCACCTCAGGATGTTTCAGACACAGGACAGACAGTGAAAAAGTGTCAAATACTCATGCATGATACAATTTTTCAACTGTACCTTCTCATCCTGTGGGAGAGCGTGAATGGAGGGGAGAAGGTGGAGACAGGAGAGTTAGACTGTGAGAGCTGGGACAGTGACAGCATTCGCAACATACACTAAACAATGATCTGAAGTGTGTTTTATCCTCAAAATGTGCAGCTAAAAAAATGTCGACTTCTAAATAAAGTTTTGTTCATTGCTCGTCTTTCTGATGAACAACAATGACTGAGAAGTCTCAGGTTTTACTGGTTTCCTGGACTCCATGAACACAGAATAAAAGTTACTGTTTAAAAAGAACAGCGGAACTCTGAAATCTGGATTTCTAGCAAAATGTAAAAGAAAATCTCATCACTCTTAAGGCCAGAGGAGATTTCTGATAGATTTCTTTGTTACTCTTTAGTGAGAACTCACTAACAAACAGACAAAAGCAGACAGGGTGAAAACACATAAATGTAAGAAGGTGGATGCAAGCAAGCAGGGTACCATCCACCTACACCTAAAACAGACACCAAGTGACCAAAGAGCCTAAACAGTCAGTTACTTGCAGACAGTAACATGCTGAGGACTAAACCACTTCTTGGCTTTCTCTGTTTGAATGCTGATGACACAGCCTACCTTGTGGTGCATGGCCTCCTTCTGGCTGACCAGCTGGGAGCGCAGGATCAGCACCTCCTCCTTGCGGACTTCCAGCTCCTCACAGGAGGCGTTGAGCTGGTCCAAGAGCACCTTGTAGGCTGGTGAACCCGGGGCCCCGGCACCTGTAGCTGCATTACCCAGCAGACTTTGCCTCATTTCTGCCAGATCATGTTTCAGCTTCTTGTTCTCTGACTCCAGCTCCTGACGCTGAGAGATGAAAGAGTGAAGCGTCAGAGGGTTACAGTTATAACAACAAGAGGCAAATGAGGCAACGCTTGAATTTACTGTAACAAAATGAGTCACTCTCTGGTGTCAGCGGAAGGTGCATGTGTTAGCGTTGCTGTATTTCTACTTTACTCGCTTACCTTCAGAGATTCGTACTCCAGCTCTGCTCCACGAGCCTTTTTAAACTCCTCATCATCCTTGAACGCAAAGAAAAACATGGTGATGACCAGAACAGCTTCAGTCTAAATACGTTTTTGTTAACTAAAGCAGGACAACTAAAGTGAAAAATGGTATCAAAAGTTTTCCATTTTGTACTGACCTAGCGTTACTGTATGTTCACAACCCTGTTCCTATGTGACTGCATAGTACAAAGTTTCCTATCATGGAACGAATCTTTACTGTCATTACATCATGAAATTTCGCCAGGCTTTCTACTCAGTATACAGCTAAAAACATTTTAAAAGACACGTTAGAAAAGCTGACAAGCAAGCACACATACAAAGATATGTAGTTTGTGAAAAAAGTGATATATTTCAGTGAGTACCCTGGCTCTAGCCCGCTGGAACTGCTCCTCTTTGTTTTCCAGTTCGTTGCGCAGCGACTGCTTTTCTTGTTCTAGCTCTGTAAGACGTTTCTGTAGTTTGAGAGTCAGAGACGTGTCTATCCCTCTTGTTACATCCTACATGAAAAAGAAACATCACAACAGAGTTTATGTCCAGGGTAAAGTATTTAAATGCTATGTTCAAATGAAAAGTTTACAAAATCTGTTTACAAAATCCTGGTTTCTCCTTCATGCTACAGTCAGTGTTAATGCCAGTTGTCTTACTTCGCGGACACGGGAACCGTCTTCTAATTCGGCGTACTCTGAGTTGTAGGTGTACTCGGATTCGTTGCTGCTGTGGGTGGAATCTGTTCTCCTGTGGCCAGGCTTGGAAACGTTCTGCAAATAGAAGAGAAAAATCAGCCTTTCAATTTTAAATACTATTGATTCGAGCTCTCTGCTGTGTGTACAGACTGAGGGTGCAGTTAACTGACGAGCACTACCAACCGTTTGCCTTCTGGTGCAGCAGCAATGTGAATCTTACAGCAAGGAAAATACACAGACTCGGTACTTCTGTTGTGTCACTGTTTATGGACGTTAAAACGTGGAGTTGAATGAAAGCGCTGTTGAATGTGTTTGATTGTGCACGTAAATAAGAGCCTCTCATCAGTGCCAAATGGGATTTAGAGCGAATGTTTCTTACCGAAGAAAGAACCATCTCTTCTTTCAGGTCGTCGTATTTCTCCTCTAGGCGAAGGTGTTCTGTCAGGAGATTCTGGTAGCGAGAGCGCTCCTCGTTCAGATCTGTCTCGAGCTGCTGAGTCTCCTGTGCTATTGCACGAGTCATTTTCTCTGATGGGACAAAAGGTTAAATGTTTCAGGATGACTGCGTGTAACTCTTGCTGCTGCAGGATGTAATTTGGATGTAGGTGAGCTTACCGGTCATCTGCTGACTCTGTTCCTGAATCGACCTGTTCAAGTCGTCCTTCTCTTTCTTCAGCAACCCGTTCTGATCCTTCAGCTCCGACACCATCTGAACACACGCAAAAATGATCCTTTAGTCACATCTTGTGTAAGGCAGGTGGCTGTAAGCATCTTGAGTAAAACAGCTTGAATCCATTCTACAGAGCTAAATCTGCGACATTTGTTTTGCACATCTAACATCAGACTGTAACTACAGTTTCAAAAGACACTCATTTAGAAAAACCTCCTAGGATATTTTAGAGGCGTCGCACTACTACAGGTTTGTACTCTGACCTCAAGAAGGAGAGAAAGAAATGCAGCAACAACAACAAATAAAGTCTAAACTAACCACTGAAAAAGAATTCCACTAGAAACTTGAATAGAGATTAATTACAGGGAAACCAAAAAGCTTGTGTTTCGACAATTTGCCTTGATTGGAACTTCATCTATTAGGGGAAGTCATCTCACTCAATCTCAGAGCCTCCAGGCACTGATAAAATAAGGGCAGGCAATGAAGGGAAACGACAACAAACTAGTCACAGCTCACACACAGCTGCTACCTCACTAACACACTGCTCTCCTGTGCTCACCTGCCCCGAGGCAACACTGGCCTCTGAGCTCACCGTGTGCCCAATTCCCCCTGGTTCGCTGCGGCCCCTAAATTATGGGAAAAAGTGGTTTTCCTCCGATGCCAATATGCACAGTCAGGCAACAGAAATTTATTTTGGGATATATATATTCAGGGAACCGTGGGAGATTCTACCTAGCAGGAGCTGTTCCTACTAATCTTTGTTTTAAACTAAAACAGGACTTTCAACAGCTACGGTCTCAGAAAGAAGACGAGGAGGTTAAAGGACAGAAGAGAAAAAAAAAAACGTTGCTTGTTTAAATTTAACTGCAGCAAGTTTTTCTGAAATTCAAAATGTACATATAATTTATCAGGAACATATCCAGTATCCACCCAACTTATCAGGAATGTTTCAGATTGCTAAAATAAAGAACATGGAGGTCCTGAGAATACTGACCTACACCCTTGATGACAATACTGAAGGATTTATGAAGAGATGGTGACCTATCCTGGACAATGTGGACATTATGGACCCATTTTAGTCTGGATTTTGCTCTCTTAAGTCAACACTATTCCAGTCAATTTAGGAAACAATGACACCCTGGTGGTGGAGAGGGGTGAATTTCTTGTTTGTTGGTGTGTATGGTTTGTTTTTTTAAATCTTTGTTCACTTGACTGTTTGTTTTCTTTTTGATACCTGCTGTATGTTCATGCCTGTTCAGTGGCTTTAAAAAAAATGTGGGAAAATAAGGTTCAGTTTTGTATTGTTTTGGTCCTGTACAAAAATACAATCCTCAATAAAGAGAAAAACAAAGAAGAAGAATATGAAAGAAGAGAGTGAGAAATGGGGACAGACAGAAACGCATATGATACCACTGTATATCCACTGTGCACAGGGAGCTGGAGGATCAGGGAAACAGAGGAGTAATGGGCTGATACAGAAGTCTTACTTTCTCCATTTCGTCCCTGTAGGTCTGCGCCCAGTCCTCGATGGTCTTCTTCTCCTGCTGCGTGGCACTCAGTTCCTTCCTCAGCCTCTCCAGCTCCTCCAGCAGAGATGACACCTGGTTGGCCTTGTTCTTGGCGTCCTCCTCCACCCCGCGCAGTCGGCTCAGCTCGCCACGCATCCGCTCGCTCTCTGCTGTGTAGGAAGTCTCCAGGCCAACTAACCTTTCGTTCACCACCCGATTTTCCTTATGCTGGAGATAGAAAAGGGGAAAAAAGGCCCCCAATTTAATTAATAAATGAAGACAATATATTTCATAGAACCTGGAATCATAGATCAACATGTTACCTGCTCGTCGATCTTCCTCTGCAGCTGCATGATTTTGTTCTCCATGCCTTTGTTGAGCTTCTTGAAGTGCTCCACTGAGCGAGCCTCAATCTTCAACTTCTTCAACTCACGCCTGGCCTTCATCCTGCGAATGCAGCACTGCAGGTAGACGATGGAGACAAGGCAGCGCTTGTACCAGCACCGAGCCAACCAGCCACGGATGTGCTTCTGAATGATGACGGCCGAAGCCTGCCGCAGAAGCTATAGACAGACACAGAGAGTCATGGAAAGAAGAGAAATTAAACCAAATGTAAGGATGTACCTGTTGTGCAAACAAAACTGAAAGACTGTCCAGAGACGTTACAAAATTTTGTAGCTAGAGAAAAAACAAAGCTGCAACAGAAAGAATGTTTTTGGCTTGGCTCAAGTCTTACCCCCTGATATTTCTGCCGGGCCATGTAAGCCCTGAGGATAGTCTGCATGGCCAGAGCGGCAGCCTGCTTCTGCCTGTAGCGCTTCTTCTCCACGTACATCTTCTGGTACTTCTGGATGATGATGGCTGCCTGAGTGCGGCGCATAAACTTGACCAGGCTGAGGAGAGGCGAGGGAGAGCAAGTCATGATTTCCATGATTACTGATTATAACATGTACATGTCATGTTCGCATAACTTTAGCCTTCTTTTAGTTCAGCCTTATGCTTTGTTAAGTGCTACAGTACTCAAAACAAATCATTTTACCCTGCGCTGTTTTGACAATAAGGAATTTACATGCTCGTAAGAGAAGTGAGTATGTGGTTCGGCTGACTCACCAGCGGGCCTGGTATCCTCTGGTAAATCTTTGGATGGTGATGGCAGCGCAGCGCTTGCGCAGATACTTCTTGCGTGCCAACCAGCAGCGGATAGTTTTCTGGATGCGGATGCAGGCAGCACGCAGCTTGTCTGCCCTCAGCTTCTCCAGGTAAGCCACCTGGCCAGCCCTGAAGAAGATCTTAGTCTTACCAAACTGATATTTATCCTGGTCCTAAAGGAGGAAAGGAAAATGCAGGGGTGAGTTAAAGAATCTTTGATGACTTTAAAGACACGAGCAACACAAACAACAAAATATTTGTTATTATCTATTGTTAAACTTTAAATGGTACTTTTAAGAGGAAAAAAGAAAACCTATCTGACCTGCACTAATTTCTCCAGAACATTCCTGCAGGTCAACTTCTTGTCGGGAAGCACGTCCTTCTGTTTCATTAGTACTCTGTAACGGCTGAAGAACTCCTGGTACGTCCACCTGAGACACACACACAAATTTAAAAACTGAAATGATCCAAACTTTTCTGTCTGCTTAAGCATTAAGACTCCACTGTGGAGGTCAACTTTCATTTGCCTTCTGCTAAGCTACGAAGGACACAACACATACAGTACTTAACACAGCGTGAGAATCAGTCAAAGTGTTGCTGGGACTCATCGATACCTGGATGGGAAGCCTGCAGCAGAGATACGGATGGTTTCTAGGACACCACAGGCTCTGAGCTGCTGCACCGCACGTTTGGGATCAAACCTGCCGACAACAAACAACCACAATCAATACGGCCACTAAGAAGTGCGGCTAAACTAAGAGAGTGACTAAAGCTCAAATGTGGTGCATGATTGAGTAATGACAGCAATGTTCTGCAAATGAAGATGCAGTGTTGCCTATTAAAATTAATGATGTCATTTTACTGCTGTCTACAATCTGAACTGAGAGGCTAAAATTCCTTCATGCTGCCAAAGAACAACAATTCAATTGAGACTACAACTCAGAAAATTAAAAAAAAAGAGAGAGAGGACACTTACGAGAAGGCCATCTTAAAGTCATTAGGTTTGATGCAGCGGACGTAGTGTGGGGTGGTTGCGTTCAAAGTCTCCATCAGCATTTGTAAAGAGTTACGAAACTAAGAGAGAGAGGAGGACCATCATCATCATCATCATCATCAATCCATGAATACTATTCGGTTGAAAACATGCTTAAAAATTAGCTTTGGATAGCTATCAAATCCACAAACTGCTGCTCCAAATATTATAATCAATATTAAAACAACTCAGCAGAAATGCTAATCTTTGGAGTGGAATAGGTTGTAATTTATAGTATTTTGATTCTTGATATACAGCAAAACAAACTGGATTTAATGTTTATTGTGCTGGCGTAACTGCATCATACAACTCTGACTTCAGATCTAAATGTAAGTCATAGCCCCTCATCTCACACAGCAGCAGCAGCAGCAGCAGCACACGGGCACAATGTAAATACGTATATAACATACAGACATATAGACACAAATGCATAAACAAAACATAGACCCGACTGCAGCTCGTACACAATGTACACTGCATTTTAGTTCAAAATGTCTTTATTCTTTATTATTCATGACATTTCTTTCTATTTTAGGGAATGTTTTAGTTATTGCGCAGCTTCGTGAGACAGACGCTTTGCATTTCACTGCTCGCACTGTATGTAACAAAATCAAACTCTTGATTCTTGAATAACATCTGTCTAATGCACAAAAGTAGTTTGATGCTGAGATACCCACCTGACAGCCGACTGTCTTCTTGTGCTCCTTGCTGCTCTTTTCCCGGCCCTTGTCGGGTTTGATGCTGAGGCGGGTTCGGCCTCCGGTTCCTTGGACCTGACCAGTGGGGCTGGTCGCTTTCTCCTCATCCTGGAACAGCTCCACCAGCAGGTCAAACTGGGAAAAGCAATCCACTTACAGTCACAAACAGAGCGGCTGGTAGCAGCATTAGACGCTGCAGGCAATACTGAGTCAATTTATCATTTAGTTTCATTTCCTCCTGGATATACCGTTAAATCAGTGCAACTACTACAGATCACATATAACTAAAAATGTAGAATCTCCTTATAGACATGCGTTTTTCTTACCGTGCAGCGCATACAGGCTTACAAAGCAGGATGACAGCTATATTTTGAGCATTTGCCGCTTTAAAGACCATATTATTGACTTTCTTTTAAAACACACATGTCTAGTAATTTAATGTAGATACAAACATAAGAGTTAATTCATCTCAACATTGTCACACACTGACAGCTGACAGTAGATGAGTAGATGTCACTTGATTTGTTGATTAGTGTTTGTTAAACTCGTTCAGTCAGACTTGACACAATGCTATAAAGAAAAAAAATCAAGAGAAAAGGTTATGTTGTTTCATATATGACAGTGTGCAGTGGCCATATATGGCTGCATGACGTTACTTTGCCATGACGTAAATAGTACAATGAATGACGTTTGTCTTTTAGTAAAGCACGCTGTTCCATATAACGCTGAGGTTATATGTGGAGGATGCTGTGTTATGTGTGCAGCTTCAGGTCCTCCTGCTGTGCTTAGAGCGGTGCCATGCTGCTTCTCTAACCAGCGTCATTAAGCAGGACAGCCACAGCCACAAAGGCTTTACGTGCTGCTCGCTCTCAGCATCACTCTGAAAGATAAAAATACCCTCCTTCCTTCATCCCTTGTTTCTATGTTGAATCCCCTTTTCCCCACCCACAGTGCCTTCAGTGCTCCCCATGCAGCAAACAAAGGCACACACACACACACACAACTTCAATCCCTTTAGTGCAGTTATAGTGTAATAACTCAGTGCCATAAAGAGAGCCAAGGAAGGAGGAAAGGTAAGGAGAGAAAAAAAAAAGGAGCTAAATGAGGAGCTACAGGCGGACCAGCGTTGTAAGAACGCTTCTGTTTACCTTCTGCTGGCAGGGAAGGTTGTCATGATGAGGACAGAACCAAACATACATGGACAACACATGGAGACACAGTGACACAATGACATTAAAAGGAAAGGTTAACGAAAACCCAAATACCCAAAAATCATTATCACTACCATCCAAAATTAAACAGCACATCTATGATTCAAACTGAAAAGAACATGAAAACAGGCAGACTAATGAAGCTGAAATGGATGGAAGGAAACATGATTTTCTCGCCCAAAAACATTTTTTCACTGACTGCATGAACAATGAAGCAAATCTGTGGCAGTTTATCTCTTGCAATTCCGATCAAATTCCCAAATCGCAGTGCATCATGGGAAATCACTGTATCAAGCATTTCTGTAAAGCATCATATTGATTAGACTTGCAAGCAGACGTCGGCATGAATGCAAAACTGTGTGTCTTGCAGGTCCCCGTGCAGCTTTGAGCTGGGGAGCACTAATGTCTGTTCAATATCTGTACAGGGAGCCTTTACAACATCGCAATACTGAACAGTGTGCATGTATCAGTAGTAATTATACTGTGCTCAAAGGCAGATTGCTAAAATAAAAAGACAGTACTTTATGCCAACGAGGCAAGAAACAAACATTCAGATTTTTTTTTTCTTCAAAACAATGAAATTATTGTGCAAACTTTGGGTTCCTGATTCAATTTTGAAATAACAGACTTGTTGCAGTTGTTCATGCCGTAAGTTTTCCTGTGCAATGAGGGGTTATTATTTATAACAATCTGGGTGTGTCCCATTTTGTTTCTGAAGTTGTTTAAATAGTCTGCTCATGAACTGCTGATGGCTTGTGTCTTGATAAATTTGTTGTAGAGATGTCACCCTGTTCCATGACCTCAGCGACCTCCTTAATCAATACTGACAGAAATCATAAATCTTGACAGGACAATAACAATGAAGTTGCAGGAAACCAGAATGTTTCTGAAGCTCTAAAAGATCAAAAGATCCTGAGATGACAAATGGTGTTCACTGTGTCGGTGCATTTCTGAGGAGGAACTCACAATCCTGAGATCTTTTTCTTTTCATGTACAGTTACAAACAACAGAATTTCCTCGATGATTTACATCAAGGAGATTCAGTTGTTTGCTATTTTATGTTATCTATAAATGTGTTAAATAATGATTTAATGAACAATTAGCTGTGAAATGTTTTTTTTTTTCAAATACTCTGTCATTTTCTGTAATATTTTGTATTCTGACGGTTGAGGGCTAAATACATGTTCTAATGTTTACAAGCTCACAGGTAATGAAGCAGAGGAGTGCCAATAAAGAAAACAGGAACAAAGCTCGACTTGCAGGCCTGTTCTTTAAATCTGATCCTTTTCTGATTGACATTTTATGTAATTTTCATTGATGAAGTCACGTATGGATAAAGTATCAGCTCACACACAAAGAATGATGGGATGAGCTTGGCAGGAAGCTAAAAAGAAACTTAATTAGACTAAATCTCATTAAGAGGTCCTAACCCTTGTAATCCCAATTGTTTCGGTATTGTCATTGATTTCCATGGCAACAGACTACGAGTCTGTGTGTGGTGTGTGTGTGTGTGTGTGTGTGTGTGTGTGTGTGTGTGTGTTAGGAGGTCTTGTTAGAGGTTAGAGCAGCCAGTATTCATATTTCAACCCTTACCCAATACTGCTTTTGCTGAGGTCTACAAAAGAACAGTAGGAGGTCACTGTGAGCATTTTTTGACAATCATACTTCATCATAGTGTGTATGTGTGCAGGTGTGTGTGTGTGTGTGTGTGTGTGCGCGCGCGTGTGTGTGCAGCCAAAACAGCAGTGAGGATTTAAAAGGCTTAGGTCTGTCTTGACCCAACAAGGTTTTACACACTGATCCTGAACCAAGACCAAAACACACACACCCACACATACGCACACACACACACACACACACACCCACGTGATGTTAATTCAAACCTGATCCAGCAAATTGAGCCTTAACAGCACGTGCATGTGTGTGTGTGTGTAGACAGACTAGACCTCTAGTAGTGCCTCATATAAAGTTTACTAGGAAGGAACACGATGTCACTTACAAAATGTGTCCATTTATAAGGCTGAATATCGCTACATTGTTGTATTTATGCACTGAATTTGTTTAAACTTTTCTGCCATTCATCATGTACATATTGGAGTTTCCACAAGCCAGTGACCCAACTTAGTGTGTGTTGTGTTCAGTATTACATGTTATGTGTAAATATAACCTATATGTTTGTGACAATTTATCTCCAAGACTGAGAATTTATCATCACTGCTGTCGTCAACGTCATCTTCACTTGGCCACTGGAGGGCGCTGCTTCCCTGAGCCTTCAGGTGACACCTTTAGTCAGTAAAAGACCATTTTTCTAAACAGACACCAGGTGCCACAACTCTGCAGAGCCTGCTGACTTCCTGATTTGTATTTCAGTAGATGCATCATAATACCTGAAGTGCTCCAATAGCTAACAAGACACTGATTGAGCATAATCTGTTTTTGAATGATTGTATACATCATAATGTAGATGTTTGTGTGACTCACCTTGCTGGCCTTCAGCACATTGATCTGTTCTTCATTTACCGTGTCCTTGTTTTTCTCCAGGAAACCATCACACTGGTATTCTACCTGTTCAACGAAAAAAAACCAGCACAGCTTGTGTTACCACTGGGAGGGCATTTCACTGGGAACCAGTAACATGCTCCTATTTTTAAGTCAAACAGAGGTTCATAGGCAACCAATGAGGTCTGCATGATAGCTTATGTACAGTCCAAACTCTTGATGCATGTGTCTTTTAATACAAAAAGAATAATCACTGCAAATGCCTGATCATATATGTTTCCAAGGTGCCCCAATATAAAATCAGGGGATCTCATGGGAAAGCCTGCTTTAGTCCTTGACCCGTTTATGTGTAACCTTATAGTGAGGCTCTAAAAACAGACATGAAAAATAACGCTACATCACACAGCACCTCATTAGAGGACATAAAACCCATTACACCAAAGTGGATTACACCAGACCTATACATACACACTCATATGTCTGGATACCTTTGTGAGGACATTCATTGACAATAATGCATTCCTTACAGTGAGGACAGAACGTATGTACACTGTTTGCCAAGGGGATGTATGTTTTTACTGGCTACGCTGATGTAGCTGGTTTCACTGATTATGATATAATTATGACTTTATATATATAAAAAAGTGCAGCATTACAGCAGCCAGTCTAAAACAGTCTGCATACGTTACGTCCTCAATGCAGCCACAACAGTCGCTCCTTATTCTAGCATTAACCTTAACTCGATATCCAAGGCTTCACCTTCAAACAATCCTTTTTTCCAAAATGTCCTCACACTGATGGTTCACATCTCAAACTGCTTCTCTCAAAGATAGCTGTACAGGTTCACACACACAGTCTCTAACACCTCATTGCAAATATGCCTATTTATGAGAGAACAGAATGAAGAATGAATAAAAAAAAAAAGTCATCCTTCCTCCAGCTATCCTAAAAATATCTCACACAAGCACTGCAGCAGATACTACAGCCACTCTGTTCCTAAATGTTGTCAGAGCCTTCAAACGCATACACTGCATGTCAACGCTAAAAGAAAGCTGAAAGAAACACCAGAATTTCATAACTTAATGCTCAGCACTTTGTAAACAAAAAGCAAACAAAACGTGTGACAGGCCCACCTTGTCAGCAAAGTGTTGGATGATGAAGGCGCGGTTGGACATGCGTGGCTTCTCGAAGAGGGAGCAGGTCTTTAGGTGGGTGTTGTACAGTTTCTGAGCCCATGAATCATCTGAACCTTTAGGCATCTGGTACAGAAACGGAAAAGACACGAGGGAACATAATGAATACATATCGATCTTCTCACAAATACAATGAGTGCGTTTTTTTTCCCACAATTACTGGATTGAACTGTATACCAGAGTACAGACGCACAAGTACGTTTCCCTGCAATAATGTCAGCAATGTGGCCCACCTCAAATGTCAACAGCCTATAAAATGACCTTGCAGTGGTGGAGAGCTACACAGAGATAAGCCAGCATTGTTAGAGATCTGGCTTGGCTCTAAATGTGTGTAGATGGTACAGATATAGGAAATCTGCCCTTGAAACTAGAAGCTAGCACAGCCTTAAGTGAAACTAGCCACTTTTACTATTGGGGTTAACGAAAGAAACTAAGATTATACAGTCTAATAAATAGAAGAACAGAAATAAACTGTAAATTAAAATATTATCCAAATTATATCTCAAGGTGCTAGATATTTATAAAGCACCTCAAATAACAACATGATGAAAAAAGTTTGAAACCATGAACAAAAATGAAGATGTGAAAAAGAAGGAACGGCAGCTTTAAGGCCTGTGGTCACTGCTTCGCACTGGGCCTCCGTACTGTAGGTGAACTCTGATGTGAACTAAACGTGTAGGTGGTGGAGACTCGAGCCTAGTGTGCAGTGGGAGGCAATGACAAGTCGACTGTCAAAAACTGTAAAGCAGAATGTGGGTGTAAATGGACAAAATACACAAGACTCTGCTCAATACGCAGCACTGCTTGTTTACATTCATGACAAAGTTTTTATTCCACCAACAGTATTCACTAGTCCTCAAGTCTTATGTAATCGTATATGTTCAGCTTGTGGAACAACACAGAGTTATGGCAAAAGACGGCTCGTAGGCTTAAATAAAATGTGTTTTTTGTTTTTTTTTTTTCATTTTTGTCTTGTAAATAAAGAATTGATAAGATGTGTTCTTTTGGATAAAGCTCAAAAAAGGTCTCCATGAACAACAAACTGCTGAACATAATGTGTCAGAAACTATTCTCTGCATTTTCCAATATCAGACAAGCTAAATGCTGAATAGCTGTACAACTTTATCTCAGAGATGGACAGAAAGATGCATGGCACATCTAACAGAGCCAAACTCTGACGAAGAAATGACAGAGCTGTTGTGCAACACACTGCACCGAGCGCAAAACAGGTACATGGAAAATGCTCAGCACTCCGAGGAGATAACAGCCTTTGTTAGGAACAGAAGATTATAGATCGGGGCGTGGTCCGAGCTAACTAGGCTTCCAATGAAATCGGTGCCAGCCACTGTTCTGTTCTGGCTGTCTGGTGGCTTGTACAAAAGGTTTAGCAGTCAAAAATACTTCAAATGTGGCAGCTTGTAAAGTAGGCCGTTGTAAAACATTCACTTTGACAAAGTTAGCATAATGTTTAGCACTGTGCTCCTGATATTGTCAAATAAGGAACTGACAGACAGGCTCAACAACCAACAAAACCAAGTCAAGTAAATTTAGAGGAAAGTTTTTTGGGATTCAGTTTGCTTCTTTGAGCCAACCATTTCCTGGAATAGAAAACTTATTGGGGCCGGATTAATTCAAAGACACGATGACTGTACTTATCGTGAACTATTGTTGTCTCACATTTTACCTCATATTATATTAATATGCAAAAAAAAGACAAATAAAAAAATCCATCTCTTAAATTGCATTATACTATTGATTCAACCATGTACGAACACTGTGAAATAGATGTTAATTAAATGGTTGATGCTGCCTCGAAATGTGTGCAAGTAAACAAGAAACCTATCTATGATTTTAAAACATTTTACCTTGCACTCTTCATCCAGCAGGTCCAGGATGCCCATCTTGGCTTCTATGAGGTTGATGCAGGGCTGATTGTCATAGAAGTCAATTAAAGTCCAGGGGATCTGCTCCTTCATGTACTCCTCCTGCTCCAGCTTGAACACGTGCTGCATACACACAGAGCCGGGCATTTAGCTTTGCATCTGCAACAAGTACTCTCTCTAATATGGTCACACATAATGGGTGGTTTAACAGGTTAACACGTGCTGCTCACCATGTTGAACTGCTGCTGGAGCTTCTCATTAGCGTAGTTGATACAGAACTGCTCAAAGCTGTTGATTTCAAATGTTTCAAACCTTGTGAGGAAGAACAGAAATGGAAAACAGATGAGTCTTTTGATTGTCAAATATTAGCGACAGTAAAATGCACATATTGATTAGTTTCCCCTTCTGTAACTAATCCTGCTCACATGGACCAGCTACTGCACAGACGTACCCGTAGATGTCGAGGACCCCAATAAAGGAGTGCTGTTTAACGTTGGTGATCAGAGCCTTGTTGACGTGCTCTACAATCCAGTTGAAGAGCTTGGCGTAGATATGTTTGGACAGGGCATCACGGGCGTTGGTGGCCTGCAGACGAGGGAGGGTCTTGATATACGTCTCTGTGGCCGTTTTCAGCTTCCTGTGGCACAGCCACTGAGACATGTCCTGGTAGGTCACACCCACGAGCTCGCAGAATGCCGTCAGGTGACGATTGTTGGGCTACAACACAAGGAAGAAATTTTGATTATCACAATCCACCAACAGTGAGTTTTTGAGCAACTTGAGCTGAAGAATTCCTTCCTGTTCATCTGAGCTCAATTGCAAAATGTAATAAATGCTTACATTTTTAATACGAGGTGTGTCAGAAAAGTTCCAGGACTGGTGTCACAAAAGATATATTTCAAACCCAAACTATGTGTCTGCTTTACTATGACAACGCGCCTGCTCACAATGCCCTGAGTATCCAACAGCTCCTGGTTGAGAAGAACATCGCCGTGCTGGAGCAACCTCCCTACTCATCCCACCTTCCAGGAGTGCATGGTGGCATGGCAAAGCAGGCTGGGAAAGTGCATTACACTCCAGGGGGATTACTTTGAAGGGGAAAACTTGTAGTTTGGATTTGAAATATGTCTTGGACACCAGTCCTTGAACTTTTCTGACACACCTCGTATAATATTGTTGTGTTTACATGAATAAACCCAGAGGTAACCCTCCCATTTCCTGCTGCAGCATAAACATTATACTCACAGGAATAACGCTGCTGTCCGAGTCTCTGTCCTTAATCTCTACATTTCCCAGATGAAGAATAGCAGCCAAAACCTGGAACAACCCCATCTGATAGGACTCATTAATACCTACAGAGGACAAGGACACACACACACACACACACACACACACACGCACACACATATAAGGAAAAGAGGTTATTATTTAGAATAAACCTACAATGTGTTTCTTGCCTTGTGAGAGCTTGACCGATACTTCAACACAATGCTTTACTTCTAGCTGCAGTACACTTTATGCCTCCAGCTAACAATTACAAAGCAGGTCCAGCAGTCAGAGGAGTCCTCACTGATCAGCGTTACTTTTCTAGCACACAAGCTCTAATCTTCTTCATAGGTTTGAAATTGCATTTGCGTTTTACCCAGCAATGTGAAGGCATTGCGAGTGGTGCAAAGCTCCTTGGTGTCGTCCACACCGTCGATGACGGGGCTGCGGCCCTGCCTGGTGTACAGGAAGTCATTTGCACTACCTGAGTAGAGAGACAGAAAGGGTTAATAGTTTAAAATCACATATCGTGACAAAAAAAAAGGCTTTGTCCTTTTTAGTCAGTTCTCAGGATAGCTGTGCAAGTAACCATAGAAACAATCCTGACTGATTATCCGAACACTGAAGTGTCAACTAAACAGGCAGGACACATCACTGTGGTGGTCAAAAGAAGCTAAAGGTCAGTTTTCTTTTAACTGGTCAAAGATTCAAGAGAATTAAACGCTGCAAGGTTTGACAGTAAAGAAGATAATATAAGCTTCTGAGCTGAAGTCATTTTCTTCCAGCGGCAATGCTGTGATTCACTGCTCATTCAGAAATGTTCCAATCATTACATATGTGAAATCTAATTCTCAGACTCCAAGTGGCGTGAACTGTCTGGCTGTACAGTCACCGATCAGCAGACAGAGGCCACGCAGCAGACTTTGGGTTTATAGAAATACATAAAATCAATAAGACCTCTGTGGAAGAACAGTGGTACTCCAACTTAATCACAATCAGTTTCTTTATATGCACTTAACATCCAATTAGGGCATGACCCGTTGCCTGGCAACAAGAGCCACTGACATGACTGTGACAACCACTCCATTAACAGAGCCAGGAAGTCAGCAGGAGAGGAAAAGACAGCAGCTGTGTGTGTGTGTGTGTGTGTGTGTGTGTGTGTGTGTGCCAACTGAGGGGCTGTTAGTGATGGTGCCAGCAGAGTGTGTGTGTGTGTGTCTCTGACTTGGATGAGCAGGTGCAGGTCCACAGTGGGAGCGCTTTATACGGGCGTCTGTTCAACCAAAGAGTCAACGAGTCGGTGCTGATTTCCTACAGCAGGAACATTGTCTGATGCATTTTAACTGATATATATATAATCTGATAGAGCAGTGCTCTTCAGATATCTCTGAATTCAAGATTTTTCCAGGATGTGGAGGGGAGGTTTTTTTAAGCTGTGTCTTAAAACCACAAAAGGATCTTTTGTATTTGGTTTGTGGTTTATAAAGCTCTTGGAATACATAAATGTGAAAATAATGTCACTTTAACTTTGTTTGTTGCTTGGCTGGGTAAATTATTTATTGAGATAATGAATTTTCAGTGTTTGTGAAGTTTTCCTGCTGTGAGGAACTAATGGGGCCAAAACAGACACAAGGCTCATGTGTTTTAAGCTAAGCTCACCAAATTGTCAATACTATATAAACTGAGATGCTTGCTTCAGCCTGATAAATGCCTGTCCATGAGTAGGGCTGATTAGCATACTCAATGAGGTCGACTGCTCTGTTCTATTTGTGGGCATATTTCATTCACAAAAAAAACTGTGGCAGAGAGCAGCAAAGCTTCCGCTACCACAGTGAGAAACACAGAGAAGAAATACAACAAATTCAACAGTGTAAGTAGTTGTATTATACTGAGCAAATCATTGCTTTCTGTAGTGAAAGTAGTTTATTTTAATTATTTTCATTTTAGTTGATTCTGGTAACAAATTTAAACTTCAAACCCCACTGCAGTGACAAGCACACCGTCTGCTAGGGCTGCACGATTAAAACCAAAATTATAATCAGAACAATTTAGATTAATATTGAGATCATTTATCATGATTCTTTAATTGAGGACAAACCTTTTTAAGGCACTTTCACATGTGAAAAATTAGAGCACTGCTTTTACTTCCAAGTTTCAGTTCCAGTTTTATCTTCTGGAGGCAAAAGATAAGTAGAATTGTACCCACCTGCTGAGCATTTGCTTATCTACAGACATTATAATTTACTAATGTTCGTGCAGGTTATGGCAGACGCTAGATGGGTGCTATGCCAAGACAAGCCTTATCTCAGTAACTGCAGCTACTAAGTGTGTGACCCAAACATTCTTTTGAAAAGAGTGAAATGAAGCGTTCCAATGTCTAAGGAAGTTGTAACCAAGTGATTTTATCTACACGAACTGTTTTCAATTTGCGGCGTTATCATGAGCCGAGCAGTTTACCTGTCCATAAGATGTTTGTTTAATTATGAGAGGGGGTCAAAATCATGATAAAGACTAGCACTGCATTAATGGTGCAGCCCTACTGTCGGTGCATGAGTCAAACGAAAGGTATTAAATCAGGTAAATCCTCTTAAATCACTCATAAATGTCACTTAGGAACAAATCTGTTCCTTACAAATATTTCTCTGCTGTTTTTGGGTAGCTCTAATGCTGTTGCCAAGTGCTCCTAAAGAGACAACGTTTAGGTGTGTCTGGCTGCTGCAGAAAAACATGAACATGCTCCTTTTGTTGCACAAAAGTGAACAGATTTTGTGTTAGCGCTTTTGTTTTGCCTCTGGTATTGATGTACAGTTGGAGACAAGAGGGAACTGTGCAGCTCTGTGTGTTAGTAAGTGGGGATGCAGAAACACACGAATGTGACTTACTCAGCCTCAGATTCTTGAACTCGGGCAGATGGGCTGATGCACAGAGCTGATAGAAGACATGATAGTTCCTCTCCTCGTCCGCCTGGAAGAAAGCAGGAAGATTGTATATAATGAGGAAAATGTCGACAACACAGAGGCTCAGTAGAGAAATAAGATACACTTACAAAATACTCAATTAACTCAAACTGACCACACATGCATGACAGTGATCACTGCGACAAATATTTGGTCCTAATCACAAGCTTTCTCCCTTTTTTTTTTCCCTCCACAACTCACATCCATGCAGGAAAACTCAGCTCCTTCTTTCTATACAATTAAGACTGCATCTGCTTTACAGTTATATAGTTTAACATCTGGAAGCTCCATTCATTGGCAGCTGGCCACTAAGTGTCTTGCTCAAAGGCATGACAACAGATGCTACTGAATTAGATGCGAATGCTACATCTTTAATATACCAGTGAGCCACCTGTATTCCTCTGTTGTTCCTGTGCCTGATAGATCAGAATGTAAATGAGTAGAAATTTAAAAAAAACTGGAGCTGCAGATAAATTCCCAGTGAAAACAACTTGCATGTTAAAAAGGTGTCAGCTCTGTGCTGTGAAGTCTGAGACAAAACGGAGAGGCAGTGTGTTACCTGTGTCCCACATTTGTGCGTCTACACCCAAGCACAGAATGCAAACACACACACACACACACACACACCTATAAGTGGGTTACTGGAGCCAAGCATGTGAAAAATGTGAGGAGTAATGTAACCACGGTTTTCTGCCAACATCCTCATTCCTCAACAGTGTTGCCAATGACAGCAGCATGTGTGTGTGTGTGTGTGTGTGTGCAGAGAGAATATCCTTGTCCATTACATGCTGACTGACTGGCTCCACCAGTAAGCAAACACACACACACACTTAATCTATGTGAAGAGTTCATTAGTTTCGTTTGCTTGAGATAATATCAATCAGATTGAAGCTAAATGGATTTGACTCAGTATAACTGACATGACAGAAACACAGATAACATAAGTTTGACTGATATTGTCTCGGGTAGACGATGGAAATATGGGTTTTCTGAAGGTTTGTGAAGATGGAGTTATCTGTTTTTACATGTGTAAGTACTGCAGCAAGTTCTATAAAAGACAGCGTACTTCGTCAATACAGAACTTTTTAAAACAGTATTTAAAAAAGAGAGACAAAGAAAAGAATATAAGAGGAGTAGAGGACAGGAAGAAGAGAAAAGAAGTGTCATGCTGTAACCCAGTGTGACAGATGGACTCATAAACGATGGGTTTGCTTTGTTTCCTCCTACTCGTCTTTGTGAAGAAGGGAATCATTGCCGCATACTTCTTCTGCACTAAAGGACACCAGGGAGAGTCTGACAGTTAATGTGTGTTGCTTTAGTTTCTTTATCCCGCTGATGATGCTAGATAACTAAATTCTTGTGTGTGTGCGGTTGACTGCACTTCTTTACAATTACCTGAAGCACACAAAGAGCATTATGATCCTCCCAAGTGGGGACATTTCAGAAACTCTCACTTATCTACTGCATCACAACAGCGAGGTTACTGTTGAACTGTTGGATTAATAATTAAGGCTTCATGTCGACGCTTACGCTGCGGAGTGAATATGTTTTCAAGTGTCTTCTGGTGAATGTTTTTGAAGGTCGAACTTCTGATTGTCATTTCTCAATGTCATGTCAGGCAGTTTTCCTGCTTTTCTCTTTTTTTTCTTGCTGTCATGGTGGTGAGGTGAAAATGTTTCTTGTGATGCTCGAAAGCCAACTGAATCTGCTCCCAGACAAATATGATCCTCTACAGGGTTTTGTTGTAATGAATCAAACCAGGCAGTAAGATATAACTCATAGATTTTGGCTACAATACAACCCCTCTGATGCCAGTGAACAAATTCCTGAACGTGTTGCGTTATAGCTGTAGTGCATGCTCTCAATATATTACTGCTGACAGGCTTCGAGGAATCGCATTAGCAAAAACACTTCCGACATTAAGGACGCAAGCTAAAGGACAGGTTGTGCCAAATACAAGAAAACACCAAAGATGACACTCAATACAATGGTTAGGAAAATCTTTTCCGCCTGTCACGACACAAAGACTGTAACGTTAGCTCAAGAACTGTGTGTACTTGTGCTGAAAGGCACTTGAGAAGGAGCAAATTTGACAATGGAGAACCCGGGTAGCTGAGGGACACAATAACATCAAGCTGCTTTTAAAAAAACACACACAAACTCCACAACAAGTTTGTTGCTTAGTCATAAAACTGAATGTCTGAGTCCTTGAGAGTGGAGTTAAAAATAAAAATTAGAAAAGCACAAAGGTTAACTTCCATTTATCTGTGATGCCTGAGCCAGAGGTAATAGACGGGAATGAAGGGAGGAAATAACACAAATCACTAAAATATCCACACAAATACAAGAAAACACCGTGGAAGCACATCCATGTAAACTTGAACGCATGATGGTGTGCTCACCTGAAACACGACTCGTGATTTCTCCAGGAGATATGTTCGCATGTTGGCACCGATGATACGGTAGCGGGTGTCAAAACCGATCTCGATGTATTTGCCAAAACGACTGCTGTTGTCATTCCTGGTGGTCTTTGCGTTTCCAATGGCCTTGGTAACAAAAAACAGACACACACATTAGCACCCACAACATGTTATTGCGTAATAGTGTTTGAAGTCTGACTAGGCAAATAGCAAAACAGCGACTACTCATTTAAAATCATCACAGTCTAAATGATCTTAAACTACACTTTGGGAAATTTTGGTAAATATGCTTTGGAGTTTTCTTGCCAACACCTAGATGAGGACACTGATACCACTCATATTTTTTTGGTAAACATTAAGCCATTGCCAGCAGTAGGTTAGCTTAGCTTGTTCAGAAGAAATATTCCCTAAAACAAATCCCAAATCACAACATGTCATAGAGATTGTTACTGCTGGCAGAAACATCAAACAGCATGATGGACACAACGACAGGGTAAAAGCTTACTGCATACATTTATACTGAAATAGATAAATAATCAACATGCGGTATTCATCAAGGTACAACAATAATTGGTTTTTGGAACTAACATACATTAGTAGTACTATCAAAATTTGAAATGAAACAAACAGAACTGTTTGAGTTTATTTATGATTTACATCTGCTCAATTAAAAGAGAACTTTTAATATTTATCCGTCATTACTTGGATGTGTATGCAGCTGAATAATGCTGTGGGTGAGACATTATTTGAGATTACAGAGTAGTGACTACAGACAGAGAGAGCCAGAGTAGGGAATTTTCAATCATCTTAAATTAATTGTTGGGGGGAATTATAATTGGAAGAACACTGAATATTGGATCAAATAACTGGCTAGACTGATAAGCAGCTGACAATTAAATTGAATGAAAATCATAAACCAAGCAACCTTAAGGTGCTGCTGCAGCAGGGTGGAGACAGAAAGCTGAACAAAGGACCTGCCTGTATAGAGGCTCAGCTCACATGCCAGCAAAGCTGCTTGTCAATTAGCTAGAGGTTTAACCAAGATACACCAAATCAAATAGGATGTAACGAGGTGTTAATTAGCAAGATTTTGAGATGCTGGCTGGCAATGGTTGTTGCCTTGAAACAGAGCCAGGCTGGCTGTTTCTCTGTCTCCAGTCTTCATGCTGGGCTAAGATAACTTGCTGCTAGCAACAGCTTCATAGTTACCATGCAGACATGATAGTGGCATCACTTTTCTCTTTCCATCACAAAAAGCAAATGAGCTTGTTTCCTAAAATGTTGAACCAGTCTTTTTTCTCCCTCATACTGTGAGTCAAAACCTGAAATAAACAGCTGACAAGTCAGTAATAGGTGTTAAAGGATCTCTGTCTACACACAAGAATGGCCTCTATTTGTTATCGAGCATTTCCTGCTGAGCGACTACACATCGGCAAGTAAATCAACTGCCGTCAGCAGCCATAGTTCAATACATAGGGTTGATCAATGACCCCACTAGGAATTGTCTTTAGACGGATGGGTGGGGCTGCATACAAACACACACATATCAAAGCTACACAACAAGCCGGCTTTAACAGAATTAAATTGTGTGTGAACACTGAGGGTTCTTGCTGCGTTAAGGCCAAACACACAGTCTTTCACTGCAGACAAGGAGGCTTTCAGCAGAGCAGGTATTCCAATCTTTGCCTGCATCAGCCAAGCATATACAAACACCATGCACAAACACTGTCTCTCTGTCACGCACACATTCACACACACACACAGGTTTTGTAAAGTCGAAAAAGCTGACGCAACCATCTACTCTGCACCCAGGCTCAGAGGCTGAAGTGACATCACTGCAACGAAAGAAGAAAGCTTTCTATTCATACTGTCAGTCTGTCTCCGATTGGCTGTAGGGGAAAGAGGTGGCTGCGAGGAGGAGAACGATGTTAGCAGAGTGGTTGGAAAGGACGGACAGGGTGGGGGATGGCAGGAGGAGAGGGAAGGAAGGGGGGATGCAGTGGCATATGTGCACAAGAAAGCTCTCCAACCCTCCTGTACTTATAACTCTATGGGAAGAAACACACACGCACACACTTAGGAATAAGACCAGTGTTTTCACAGCAGAGAGCAGCTTGAGGCCAGAAACACACAGTGTGGTGGAGAAACAGAAGGGAAGAGAGTCAGTAATGGTTAGTGAAGAAGAAAAGGAGTGGAGAGGGCAGCATGACATTGAGCCTGTATCACTGACATCAACTAAGCTGGTGAAGACTGAATAACTGGGTCAAGAAAACAAGAGTATGCAGACAAACCAGGGGAAAAATCCAGAAATGTTTAAGTGATTCTGTATTTATTGGAACACAAGAAAACAGTGTTTCTGTGTTTTAGAAGTGGGCAAACTTCAAATGCCAGTAGGAACCAGTCTAAAGACAAAACTGAGGAGTTCTCACCTCCATTATGGGGTTGGAAGCCAAGACTTTGTCCTCCACGTTGGCCTCGCTGGCGGAGCCACTGACTGTAGCAAAGTATCTCATGGCGTATTTGGCTGATACCGTCTTTCCTGCTCCAGACTCCCCGCTCACAATAATCGACTGGTTCCTCTCATCCCTGACAAATTAAACAAATAAAATCCAGATCTGAATATAAAACATAGGGTTAAGCCAGATGTATATATAAAGCACAGTTAAAAACAACAAGAGATAAACCCCAATTATGTACAATTAAAATAAAAAATGTTATTCAATGATGTGCTAACTTAGGGTAAGGCTAATGCGAAGATGATTCATTTTAATTGTGAGAACCAATTAAATATAGTTTAATAATTAGAGTGTTAGCCAGACACTGCCAGGGGAGCTTGGGCAGACAGGAAGTATCACATGCTCATATCAACAAACATTTTTTACTGCCTACAGGCAGAACAGGTGCTAACTAACCTTCTCATCCCCTCAGTTCCTTTTAACACTTCAATGTCTCCACAGGTCACCATCCTCATTTTCCCCATGAGACACAATCCTTATGCAGCACTGCCTCCTCCCACTGCACAACCTTTCTTTGCCATCATTTTTTCTTTAGCAATTATCATTTTCCCACCCACAGCTCTCACTGCATCCCCCTGCTCATCTTCTGCTCATTTTTTTCCTTTAGTGTCTCTTGCTATTGTGGGCTTTAACATTAGGTTATGCAAATAAACTGAGTCACAACTGCTTGAGCTGAGGTCCTGTATGAATAATATGTCATACAAAATCATCTTGGCATTAATTTAAGAATTTACTTGTAATTTCACTGTGCTCTTTCTTAACAAACATGTTCAACTAGGGCTGCACGTTGTTAGATTCTGTGTCATAAGTGAAGCTAATTTCACTGGTACAACTGAAATAAGAAAGAAGCAGACAAGAAACACAAACACTGACTATTTAAATGATTCATGTAGGTATGGAAAATACATTAAGCAGTATAAATGTATGCCAACAGCGCTGTTTCATATGGTGGTGAGCGCTGTGTGCTCTCCCTTCCTCACTGCCCTGCCTGTGATCTGGTTAAACTCAGTGTACAGTACAGTTAGTGCACATGTGTTCATCAGAGTGTTGATGATATAATCTCCCAAAGCGGAGGCAGAAAAGATCTACTGGTCAGCTTCTGCAAAGTCTACTCTCTTTGTTTGTGTGTGTGTGTGTGTGTGTGTGATTAAAAGAGCAGGAGGGAGAGAGACGGTGAGACCACCATGAGGCTATTTCTGGCTCAGCTTTGACCTACAAACCCCAGAAGAGAGAGAGGGATGGCCGAGCAACAGCGAGACTTGGACCAAGGCTGCTCAGGTAACACATACAAACCTGGCCATCTGTTTGTAAGCCTCCTCTGCCACAGCAAAGATATGTGGGTCCATGTCTCCCATGTTTTGACCACTGTAGGCGTTGATAATGTCTGTTCCATAGATGGGCAGCGTCTCGTACGGGTTGATGGCCACAAGAACGATTCCTATGACACAGAACATGACGAAAATATGAGCTCAGCTGCAGTCGGACCACATAAACTCACAGCACATTCATCATATTGTTCATTACTTTGTTTAAAGCTAAATAGTTTACAGCTAATAAGGTACAAGCTTTATCAGGGAGGGTAAACAATTGATAAGGAGAGCAGACAGTGTCTAAAATGCTAAACAGAGTCAATATACAAAGCTTGACTTGTATAAATACAACTGAGGTTATTGGAGGTCACATACACCAAGGCAGTGCTTAAATCCTAAAATATGAAATTGTCCACTGTGAAACATTATTCAGCTGATTACCATGCCATAATAAGACAATGGGACAGGTCTGCGGTGCTCTCAGCTATAAAGATAATGGGATCCCATCTCATCAAAGCAGTTTTATTTCAATTCCACTTTTTTAAAATCCCATTAAAGGTCCCACATTGTGGCCATTTTCAGCAAATGAAGCAAAATCTCACATGTCCTCAGCATGTTTTGTTAAATTTTTTTCAGCTCAAAATACCACAACGATGGTTCTTTTCACCATAATTGTGTAACTGCTGGTTTTAGCCGTGTTCTAAGGGAGCTGTTTCTGTGTCTGTAGCTTTAAATACAGCTGAGCTTCTGCTCTCCACGCCCCCTTCAGGAAGAAGACTCCCAGAGCTGAGTAACACACAGCTGACACAGATATGAATGACCGTCTTTGTCTGAGGCTTTCGATCACTTCTACATTTTGCATTAAAATATTGCTGAATTCACATGAGAACAATAGTTTTAAATTAATGTATGTAGTCAGTTTGTCAGACAACAATACGGTGACAAAATCAGGAATTTAGCATTGTAGACCCACAGCTTGAAAATGGCTCTGAAGTGTTTCCTGGTTAACACGTTGGGCTGCATGTCAGTCAATATTTCATACTTGTTCTGCTGTCTTTCAACAGAAACAGAAAAACATGTCAATGAGACCATCTTTATTGGGCATTTGTCTGTATTAAAACGCAATATGTGTGAGCACCAGAGAGCAGGAGAGAAGAAAACAGATGTCAATGCTGGCCGAACCAAGGTGGGAGGAAGGAATATCCAAAGTTTGAACTAGATGACTATAGGGCTCATTTTTGGAACACAGCAGCTCAGTAAAATTACTGGCTTGTGAAGCTGGGGGGTATCTTGCTGTTTGGGGGCCTGTGGAATGGCAGAAGTAAATGTAGTAATATTTTAACAGCTTTTATCAAACATATTTGCAACATACTTGCATATCTGTGTGTTTGGAAGATGTCCTCACAATATTATATTACAGAGAGAAACCCAATGATTCTCTTTCACATTTACTTTTACCAAATGATCACCTCTTCACTGGTTCCTTCCCCATCACATCTTCCATAAATGTGTCTATTTCAAGGTCTAATTTCATACCAGACTTTCACAACATACAGATGGGCACCATGATGGCCAAAGGGCCCTCCTACCGCAGTAAGTGTAGATAAGTTTTGAGTCGATGAAGCGGACTTTGAGGTTATGCAGCACGGCTGGCTCGTGGAGGTAGCTGAGCGCTGTGAGGTCATTCTCGCCCACCAGGATGTCGGGGTTTCGCAGGTAAGGCAGGTTCTTTGTCTTGGGGTCAAGTTTGTGATCAATGTTCTAGGAAAACAGAACAAAACAGGATAGTTTTGTTAGTCATCCATCTAAATAAAAGGTGATGGATCAATACAATGAGCCCTGTTATCAGTTCAGTTCAATTCAACTCAATTCTATTCAACCCAGTTCAATGGGCTTTACTGGCATGAACATTTCAAGAAACAGTATTGCCAAAGCATCAAAACTTGATTTGTCCAAATATTTAGATAACTCACCATAACAGCAATTTGAAGATTAGTATAATATTAAGCATAATATTTAAAAAATATATATATCATTCACCAGTAATCACAGTAAGAGTATACAGTCCCTAAGGTTATGGTACGTTGATATATATTAGGGCACCTATTCTCATCAAATGATGAGAGAGAAATATGCCTAAAGAACATGGCTCCTTCTCCATGTGTTAGGATATATCCTGCAATCTTCATTATAAACTGCTTTGCATGTTTTCATGGTGTAGTTGTCAAAGTTCCGCTCTCTGAAACAACCTAACCGTGGAGATCCTATCCTTGAAACAATCAATAACAGACGTCCACATCATCTACAAGTACTCAGACAGAATTTCACAAGTAGGTTCTCAGAGAGTCGTGTCATGAGACAGGCTACTGATTTTCTTTGGCTTCACAGCCAAACCACCACTTGTTTAAATCTTTCTGTGAGGAAGCCTTAGTTTGTGATGCTTCAGGCACATTTTTATTCTCACAGTTAAAATTTTTATATCCCATACAAAGTAATCTTGGAGTCTTTTAGATGCCTGTTTGATAAATGTGTTGGATTTAGAGATCTTTTAGCAAGCAACATCCAGAATGAAATAGATAATCCGATTGCTAGAGTGACTAATTAAAGTAAATTATTTTGATCAGCAGCAGCCATCTAGCCCACATGAACTGACTAATACTCCTCCAAGACAGCATAACAATTACATTTGTCATGAAAAATTTAGAATTTCTGGACAATTAAACATGCATAAATTATGTATGCGTGTATGGGGGGTGTTCTTATTCCCAAGGAAACCAAAAAACAAAACCCCTTTGATGGCAGTGCAAGCTGCTACATTTACATAAGATCGTATAAATCTTAAATCTTTGGGGCAATATGCTAAATGGTTCTGCCACTAGCATGCATTAATTTCCAGGAGTGCCTGTTAATGATTGCTAGAAGAAAAAACAGTGTGCTGGTAGCTGTTTGTACTGTAAGCCAATGAATTAAATGTACTGTGATACATTTAAAATGCTTCTTGGGGCATCTTTGCAAGCTGGTGGTGAATGCTAATGGTAAAACCGATAACCACTAATGAGACGCAGCAGAAGGAAGCAACAAAAAGAGGAGAAAAACATAAAGAGGGAGAGACTAAGTCCTCTCCACCAGACTCCTGCATTCATTATCCTCACCGATCCATCCTCCAGCATGAGCTGAAGGGAGGCGTCGCCATTTTTGTAGTCCTTGGTCAGCTCAGCAGACTTCCACACCTCCTCTGTATCGGGGATCCACACCCGAGCACACTGAGAGACAGAATAAAAAGCAAAGTTAGATGACGGACATACAGCAGCTACAGCAGAACTACAATGCTGAGCACATTGCTTTAATCCCGGTACATCCATGTAAAGATTTTTTTTAAAGTGCTGCATAAATAAAATGCGTTATTATAAAAACCAGTGTTTCTGATTTTACCATCTACCTACCAAGTCAACCCTTTTCCAGACCTTACCACACAATGTTTGCTGACACTATGCTAAAAAACTTCTCGAAAATAACAATGTATTTTCTTTTTTAGACACTATTTTAAGTGCTGCGATGTGATAAACAAACTCCATTGAGTTCTCCATGAACACGGAAGTGACTCAGGTTTGTTCCACCTCAGTTCAACTGAAGATGGATAACAGGAGAGTTTTCTTCCTTCCTTTCTGCTAATCGTTAAAAGCAGCATGACCTCAGAGAAAACACTGGGATCTGTGTTTTCACAGTCATGAGCACATGGCTCATAATTGCCAGGAAAGTTGTGGGAACAACCTATTGAACAAATAGTAGCTCATAATGACTGAAATATGCAGTTGTGGATAGTGCACGGTCATAATTCAAAATTCGCACACATACAGAGTTATCACTATAAAACTGTTTCCGACCTTACAGACTTGTGACTGCAGGCAATCAGCTGATCGCAGACATGTGGAAAAACAGTGATGAACACTGCCAGTCACATGGCTGAGGAATCCAGCTACACAATTGTAGGAGCATGTAAGAGCACTCGCACACACATACGCAAGGAAGCCTAACGCTACGGGAGTTCTCTGGATGACTGTGCAGTGATTGGAGCGGTAAGAGAAATACCGTGTAAAGAGTGCCGGGGCATAGACAAAAAAATCCACCAACACTTGTTTTTCTTAAAGTACATTTGATGTTACACAAGAGGGGAAAAAAAGGTAAAAGCTTGAAGGCATCGGTAAAGCAGATGGAAGTTGGCATTTAGGCAGCCTGTGTTTTATCCACTTAACATTTATAATTTGCTGTTAATTTTGTGAAGGATCCATCGCCACATGTGCAGCCTTCAGAGAACTCTTCTTTAATATGCAACATTACAATCCAAACCAGATCTACACCAGAATTTAAAGGATTGTTCCTGTGTCCATCCTCCACCTCTCCACCAAGTTTCATGAAAATCACTTTGAAAGTTCTTGCCTGACCCTAAAACAATACAAACAAAACAACCAATGGTAATGAAAACACTACCTTTACCGAGGGAGTTAACAAGTTAGTCAGTAAGTTAACTTCATACTAGGGATGTATGATATTTAATAATGACAACATGTGATCTGATAATATTTTCAAACTCATTCTGGCCGGTATTTGATTTTTTCGTCCACCTAAATGCTGGAAACATTAAGTCTCTCCTGTAACATATTGGTATGCTTACTCTTATTGTTGGGCCCACTGGCAGACATACAATATAATACAATGCTTTTAAAATGTACATACTTACTGGGAAACACAAGAAAACTACTTAAACTTGCATCGTACAAATAAAATGGTTTCAGCCCGAAAGGTGCCACTTATCCGTCAATGTTCTCTTCAGATCGATGCCAGTGTTTCATTTTAAAGCCTTCACTGACCAATACAGACGATGACATCATTGTACATGCGTCTTTATATCAAAACTACTCTCCACAGGTCACCACAGCATTTAAATTCACTTTCACATTAATGAGAATTTCCCCTTTTACTCATTTATTTCAAATATGCCCACAATCAGCTACCAATACAGAACGATTCTAACTTTCTTAACACAGACTTGGGTAAGTGAAGCACATGACAATGAGCGCTGGAAGTATTTCTGGAAGTTCAACTAGGATTTCATGGCGTCTTTTGCCTTCGTTACATAAACTGCTGATGTGAATTTCACAGAGGCCAGAGAGAAAGGCGTCATTGTTGAAGGGCAAAACAGGACAGAAACTGGTTAATTTCATCTGCTGCTTCACTACCGATCATCTGAATCATGACATCATGGTCACACTAACCCTCAACCTCTGGCTTCTGCTTCTAGAAAGTAATGGTGTGAACTGGCAGCTACAGCATTTCCCAGTAACTATAAAATGATCACTAGCAACACTCATATCTATTTGTCATCTAGTATTATCTGTGGATCTTACTGTACTGAAGTGTTTTTCTTCAAAGCTTTACCCCCTCAAGCCCCACGGTTCTCCCTTTTTTATTTTTTTCCCCCCCTTTCGCTAATCCTTTGCTCCCTCCAGCCCTGTAGGAACGCCAAACAAAGCAATCAGTGTGGCTAGGTAGTGTGTCCTGTGGTTTAAGGTTTCCCACTAAGTGGCACTTAAGAAAGGTGGAATATTATCTGTGTCAAAACTTAGAAAAATTGCTAAAGAACTCATAAGGAATTTGATAAGGTAAAAAATTAAGATACAATCATATTTTAAGTGGAAATGTGTTGAGCTGAGAAAGAGGAAAGTGGAGTCGGTGACTGTGTACAATGGATTCTTTAAGGCACATATTGATATATAATGACGTTAAAAATGTCTGTTACTATAAGATCACTGTGTACAGACATCCATCCATCCATTCATCATCTAGACACCGCTTAATCCTCAATAGGGTCACAGGGGGCTGGAGCCGATCCCAGATGACTCAGAACAAAGGCAGGGGACACCCTGGACAGGTCCACATTTTGCATTAAAATTTATCTGTCTTGACTCTGCTGTGTATATGAGGAGCCGAGAAAGTGAGATTGAGTGCTGTGTCGGCTGCAGTCTATATTTGTGAGACAGACAGAAAGAGAGCGAGAGCGTCTGAGTGTTTGCGCTGACTAACAGATCAAACAGCAGCTAAAAAGAGAGGAGACCCTCACAAACAACGGAAATGATCAGAACTCAAGTCGCAGCCACACATTGTTTTAACGGTCAAACATCTCAGTGTTTCTCCTGACTTATGTCACAGTTCGGATAGTTTCAATGAAAATTCATTTGTTCATTTTCCAAGAAACAGTCGCTGCAAAAAAACAAAAAAACAAAAAAACAGCAACAGAAAGAACAATTTAAGTCACACCGACGAGTGATTGGTACGATTAACCCATTGACCCGTTTATTTATCAACTGAGACGATCTGCATATGAAGCTGCATAACAGTTTATTTTGCAGCCTTTATGTATGTTTATAGGGAAGTCATTAATTGCTTGTATATTTTTGTAAATAATGAAAAGGGGCAACATCATTGGTCACCAAAAACTTGCACAAAGGATTACTTTCTTACATAACAACAATTTCCCTGAGGTTTTACACCGAAGGGATCAATAAAGTTCTATTCTATACTATTCTAATTTTTTGGAAGCTTGTTTCATTTAAACTCATTACAAGCGTACACAAGTCAATATGTCTGGCTTTGAACAAAATGATGAACATAAATGCTCAAGCATTAAAATGGCAATTCTACATTAATGAAAAAGCTCAGAGTTTGGGGTTTGAATATTTCATTTACTGCAAATATGTAGCCTCAGTGAGGAGCTGCAACAAGCTGACAGAGAATATTTAATTACTAAAGGACAGTGTGAAATAACAAGGCTTTAACAAAGTAGAGAAAAGTGGATGTATAGTCTGGGTTTCATGTTCATAGCTATGGAAAAGTGTAGTCTCTGCATCTGTCTCTCTGTCTCTGTCTCCATCACTTTTCACTTTCCACCATTTCGTTTCACCTTTTTGGTCCCTGCAGGAGACCGTCCCGGCAGCCAGCCTCCTAGCAACGCAGAGACAGAAAGGGACAGAAAGAGAGGGAGGAGAGGAGGAGGATGGAGGCTAAAAATAGCAACAGCGATTTTTGAGCAGCATCACACCTCACAGAGGCATCGCTGCGCTACTGAGCACACATCCTGATCCTGATCATCCTCACACATACAATACACAGACACACACTTCTTTCACACGTCTCTAGGTGTAAAACACAAATTATCCTGACGCTTAAATATTCTTCCAGTTCGCACATTTCCTCGCTCTTTCCTTCATCCTGGTCTAAGACGCACACATCAAGTCGAGGACAAAAAGACGGAGAGTGCGGCTGTAGGGGCAATGAATCATATTTATAGAGCAACAAACTCCCCTGGGTGTAGAAAACAAAGGAGAGATGAAGGTTAAAACTCAACCCCACACACACACACTGACAGACATTTACATGCTTCAAGGACGTCATCATCCACAATGAAACACAAGCTGAAAAGATGAGCATCTGAGGGCTGGAGAGAAAAATGTGATGAGTCAGGGCGCCGCAACTCTGTCTGCATTTAGGAGGGATGGATGGAGGGATGGATGATGTTTAGGCTGGTGGCTGGTGTGTTATGTGTGGCAGACGAAGAAGGGAGGGGAGACGATAAAGGAGCAAAGACGTCAGAGAATCTGTGACATCAGGAGTCACATGGCTCAAGTGTCTATGCTTCCATCTCTCTCTGCATATGCTGCTTGCAACATGTGCCTGCGACATATGTGGCCACCCTGATTCAAGCACCAGGCGTTTGCTGTTGTGTTGATTTAAAATGTGGACAGATCCTGAGAGTATACTGAGATAAAACAAAAACTATCAGCCATATTATCAACAATACAGCGTGCAGGGAATCAATCCAGCAGCAACTTCTATCTGCATGTAATCCATGACAGATGCTCCTTTATAAAATAGTTGGTGACATATTCAGCGTATTCAGTGTTTACCCACTATCAGTCTAATGTTAAATTGCTTTTTTTTTTAAATTTCAAGAGCCAATAAGTTACTTCTGATTTGGTTATTGAACTAGTTTAAAGAAGTGCTACATTCCCTTCTGAATGACACCTATAAAATTATGTGATTTTAGTTACATTAAAAAAACTAAGAGATATTCTGTCCTTCAGGCGTTAGAACAGGTTAAGCAGCAAAAACACTGGATCCTACATCTCCCATGATGCAGCATGATCGAGTCTAGACGACAGGACACTGCTGATCCAGCGAACGTCTATGTTTTTTAAACAGCATATGTCAAGTGCATAATGTAGGTTTTCTATTATAAATTTGTTGCTACCAAGTCCAATCTGGGATGACATAACAATGACATCACTACGGCTGTTGTCCCAAACCTGACAAAGCTCCTCCGGAGCCACAGAAGACACTGGGTGTGTTCCAACATCCATACTACTATATGTTACACCAAAAAGAAATTTATTATGTCCTGATATATAATAGGTCAAATGTAACATGCGAAAAATACCAGCATGTTCTACTACATCCAGTCAGACTTTGCAGCATGTTTTTCTGGCCATTTTGACCCACAATCCTCTGCAGAGTCAGGCGTACAGACAAGCTTGAACCACATCAAGCACAGACATATTTCAACTTATTTCGCAGACTACGACAGTCAGAGCCTAAGGAGCAATATTATGACAAAGCAGTATGTCACAATTCTATGCATACTGCATGAAATAGCGGTTACCTTGTTGGGCAGCTGCAGTACAATCTTAAAGTGAAAAGGAAAAGTATACATATTTGAAAGCTGTAGCTTGTAGCACATTTAAGTGCAGCTGAAATCTTTGCATGTGTTTGAGACTACTTGAGCTGTCTCTCTAGAACCTCCTTTAGAAAAAAAGTACCTATTCCAGAGTTGTTTTTAAAAACTGCTGTGCAAAACTTGACAACAGTTGTTTAAACTTGGAGAAGACAACACTAAACTCAGAGGACAAGCACAATGAGAGGTGACAAAGTGGGCAGAGTTGTTGGATCCAACACCGCGATTGAAACAGAAACACTGAAAGGGTCAATGATGGGTCCGTTCCTGCAAATGTTCACGGCGCTTCACGCCTGCTGAAGTTCCAATGGAACGGCGCCTATAATTGAGCAGTTTTCACAGGCTGAGTGGGACTCCAAACTGAACGTGTAAGCTCGACGGAGCGGTAGTATTGGCTGAAGAGCCGCCATGATTAGTCGACATAATGGATGACACTGACACTTAAAATGCATCAACGTCGACATTTTTACTGGGGTGTAGTTTTTAAATAATTTTCTAAAATTCTTTATTTTACTGTGACAAGTGTTTTTTTTCACATATACATAAGTCATTTTTGACTACAGTCACTGATGGGCTCCTAACATGTTCAGTGTAAAAGCACCCAGGGCTACTAAAGTTATCACAGAGCAAAAAGGTGGCTTGTACACTGACAAGTTTCGACGGCAGACCACAGCAGCACAGTGCAACAACAGAACACCTGCAGAAAAAACCCATAGGTGCTATTCTAGAAGATGAAGAATCACAAACGGCAAAACTGGCATAAATGTTTAGTCTAGAGAGCTTTTGATATTTTTTGCCCTTGTATCCGCTAAATACACTCATTAAATCATAAAATCTCTCAACCTAAATGGCTATATGTATTGGGCTTATTGGAACATGCACTGTTCCTTATCTAAAAATCATTTCAGATAAAATAATCGTTTAGATTTATCGACATATCGCAACAGTAGCTGATAGATTAATCGACAGAAAAATAGACTTCAGTGACAACCGTAGTGAATATGTATATTGATCATATTGGAGGATTCTACTGATTTTAAAAGTTGTCAATAATGATCTATTGCACACTTCCAGTACACAGCAACTGCCAGCAGGTCAGGTTGCAACAGGGTAAGGCTGCTCTTGAAGGCACAAAGCTGCGTTGATGCTAATCCTGGTTTAACTGAGACAAAAGATCAGGACCTGATTAAGCTAACTCAGGGTTTAACACCAGCTAATCTTATTTCAGTCAACTACACCGCAATTTCATTACATGCGCATATGGCTACAGGTAGCTACGACTGCAACTACTGCTGGCACACAGAAAAAAGGTTCTACTTGGACTAGTTCCTGTCCTGGATCACGGACAGAAACAAAAGACACACAACAACTGGAGCATCTCAAAGAAAAGAAGCTTGAGGAGACAACAAAGAGTGTGAATGTGCATAAGAAAAACAAGCTGCACAACAAACTCTCTTCTCACAAAATCAAATCAAAGCGTAACATCCGGAGTATTTTCAGATAAAGAAAATTGATCCGACTTGGTTCACAGAAGTTTTGTAGATGCCTTGAAAGTGATTTCAGCTGTAAATCTCTTTGCCCTATATTCCCATATCAGATCACTGTTGCCACTCAAGGACACTGGAGGTGAACTGAGGTTTTCAAGGTCACAGAGATCAGGACATCAGGAGTGTGTGCAGTATATGCATGTATCTGTATTGGGGGCAGTGATGGGGCTGGGCATCCATGAGAAGTGTTTACAAATCTGCTCAAAGTCAACAGCAGATTAGAGAGACTTCACCCTGCTAATACCGAGCTCTGAGCTTTCACTCTTGGGCTGGAGGCCCTGCGGCACGCTGCCACTGCTCTGAACCCTCCGTGGGTTTTGTCCTGCTCATCACTTACCCCTTAACATAGTGAGAGCCTTCGTGAACACTGACCAGACTTACCTGAACTCATTTCTATTTAGAACCGGCTGACTTGTGCAAGATTTCCAAGAGCTAGGTGCTCTGTTTATTACAGCTTTCATTGTTACTTGCTTGAAGTCTATAGAGTGATGTCTTAATAGGGCATAATCTGGACTGTACATAATCTCAGACAAGCTATCGTGGACAATGGGCCAACTCTCCTCAGATAATGTTTCACTCTTCGGTTAAAAAAAAGGCCATATAGTGACTGAAATAATCTTGTTCTTGTAACTGCACAAAGGAATGAAAGGTATTTAGACAAGTGCGCTACACATCATGAGAGTAAATCAAGTGGAAACAGATTAAAACCTTAATACATTTTATAATACACTCTGGCGGAGGAAACCATCTAGACAGCTGCAGTGGTATGTGAAAAGTGTTTTGCCCACTTATTCTCAGTAAAGCCGTCAATAGGGTCCCAGACTGCAGAAGCCTCGTCACATGATGCCACTCATGTGAGAATCTGCTGTTTTTCTGCTCAGCTGGGCAGACGCAGCATGACGCCAAGACTCAGAGACCTCAGTGCTGCTGGAGAGTTCGGTAGGAAGGATCTTCAATAGTTTTTGCTACACCCAGTGTTGTTCTCTACCTAGACCTTTGGCGTGCCAGTAGTCTAGTGACTGCCAAAGATCAGAGTCTCTTACTAAGAAGCTGTGACGCTACCCAGCAACTAATCACATTAGTTTGGCCAGCGCTGACTCTTGGAGTAGTGTAAGAGTTACAAAAGGGGCAGTCGTCCTATCAGTATGTTTACACCTGACAACAGGCACGAAAACTCTGCTTTCATCAATTAGGAAAACATACACAAATGAATAATAAACCACGCTAGTCCAACCAGCTCTATCACAACATTACGTCCTCAGTTTTCTAAAACGTTCTTTCCATTTCCATTGCCGAACACGTGTACACAAACATTCACATAAGGAAGGTGAATTATGTGGCTTTTAAATATACACAATACCAAAGTAATGCTAGAACGTCCTTCAACAGGAGCGCGTATTGATCCTCCATACAGCCTACTAGGTTGCGTCCTTGCCTGCAAAGTCAGATATGCAGCCCTGTACACAGAATCAGGACAAACTACCATCTAGTTCCACTGATTCAATTTTGTCGATCTGTAACAAAGATGTTGCTGTTATTTAGATAACAAAAGTCAGCGCAGGCTAAAATCTCATTTGTTGCTAATGAGGAGTTATTACTGTCCTGCTGATTTCGGTGACATAACTGCTGCCAGGGTGTGTCAGGTCTGGGGCTCCTGGGAGAGGCAATGCAACCAATTCAAGACTAGAACGTAAAGATGACAGAAAATAACAGTTTCTCCTTCAACATATCATCACAACACAAGTATTGAAGTCCATCGTCTTCTTGCATATCTACTTAACCGCCGAATGGAGACATACGTGTAAAGCTTAAAAGAAGGCAAAAACTTACTTGCACAAACATATACTCCAACTCCCGGTTCATCTTGTCTTGTGAGCGAGCCTTTAGCTCATGCTGTGAGTCTGCTGGTTTTACAGATGCCTCCAGCCACACACGCCACAAGACCAGACACTAACTGATCGAGCGGTGGGCTCCAGAGCTCGCTGGTAGATGAAACCTTCCCATTGTGTCTGCAGACACAAGCAGCGTTCACCAACGCTCCCAAAACTTCCTCGCCCTGTGACAGATGACTGGCCATAGCGGTTGTCTGTCAAACAACATCCTGGCTTCCTTTATCGATCACATGAGTCGTGAGGCAGACAGACTCCACAAGTTTAAAAAAACAGGACTTTCTCACAAAGCACTGACATGGCTCCAAATAACAACTACAAACAGACAGCACAGACCAACCTTATTCCTTCATATATGATTCAAAGTGCATGTAATATCGTAGCATTGAGCAACTTCAACAACTATTCTTTTCTTTTTGCATTATGTAATAGTGACGGTGATTTTTAATTTAAGATGCTGGCTAAAAAACTAAACTGAGTTTTTATAACAAGATAATAAATCTTTGGCTCTCAAACGACTCTATTAAATGATTATCATTGCAGCTCTGTCACACTGAGAAAAACACTGGACTCGCTATTTTTCTCATGAACATTTAACCTTTTCCTGCATACACCTACTTTGGTGTGTTGTGTGGACTGCAGTGACTACATGCCAGCATGTATACAACATGACTATACAATTACTTTAACCAGGTTATCTCAGTAATCTAATGCACATGCTCTCCATTAGATGTAGAGGTAAAAAAAAAATAAAACAAAATAAACCAGTGACAGTGGAGAGTGTAAAACTGCCACCTGATGCTGCTGAAACGACACCTAACAAAGTATGAATGTTTTTTCTATAATGCATGTGTTTCAGCTATGAAATTTGTACAGATTTAAACAAGTCAAATTGGGTTGTGTAACAGAAGAATGCTGCTTTTGCCTGTGTACATAAGCAGAGGTTTGTGTTGTGAACCCACAGGCTTGGTGTGTTTAATAAAATCACTGGAATTATCATATATTTACATTTGGATTTACTTTACTTACTAATTTCCCTTATATTGGCCAAAAACAAAGCCTACAAGGAGTGGTAAATACATGCACAACACATCGGCTCTTATACCTCTGGTCAGGGTATTTACAGCAGCAAACCATAAAGAGCAATGCAGCTGCAATTTTCTTCCCACTGTCATTTGGCATACGTTTAATTCATTTATCCCTCTTTAAAAATTATACAACAAATCCAGGTTTGTGTACTTCCTGGGTTTCTACGTTCCTTTTGGTTGGTTGGTTGGCTGTGTAGCACACTAAACAAGACAAAATGACAACTCAAAGTCAAGAAAAAACGAACAACGCACCGCCGGCCGCCGGGTTAAAAAGGCGAAAAACCCGCCCCTCCGGCAACAACCCAAGAAAGGAAGCAAACGCAAGGGGTTCCCCTTTCCATCAGCTGTTCCCGACTACTCCCACTGTGTGACATCACTGACTAGCATGTGGCCTGACAGGTTCAACCTCGCATCTGTTTTCTGACCCACATGATTTATCCCGAAGCGTCCAGTCAATCAAACCATGTGTGAATCTTTTAGTTTTGGATCTCTGACCAGAAACTTTAAAGATGAGACAACGAATGACTGTAAAACAATATCAAAAAGCATGCTGTCTTTGAAGTTGAGGCATCCTTCAACTTTAACTCTGGAAACAAACTACTTAATGAAAGTTGAGCCGTTTCTAACATTTTGACATTTGAATGACGGTACACATCCACCACCAGGAATGTGTGCTTGTGTGTGTGAGACTCTATGCAGCTTGTCACATACTGCTTCACAACAGGGGTCTGCAGAGTGGTGTGAACTTGAATGCACCACGTGCTGCAACAGATGAAGTGTACAGCTTATTTGTTCAGTTACACAGAGATCTCAATGTCATGAAGATAACTGCCTTGCAGCATAATTACATATTTTATAATTGCCTGTATTGTAACACTATCATTATCAAAGGAGAGAAATCATAGCAGTAATGACATGATCTGTTATTACCACTCCTACCCTCCCCAGTGTTTGATCAAACTAATCTTCTTCCCTTTACTATCACTGCGAAAAAAAATATGAAAGGCAGGATTATTCAAGAAGCCAAGTGAAAACACACTGTAGTTAAACAGCGTCGGTTTCTTTTCTTGGCCACCTCTTCTTGTGTTTTCTTTGTCCTGACACTTCTTTTACCCCGCATTACCAGGACTCCGGGGCAACACAGATCATTAGTGTCTCACCACCACCTCCTGCACAGATGAGCTAAACTCACTGATACAGACAGATCAAGGCTGCTTGTACTGCAGCCAGAGTGAAAATATCTCTGCATGACGCCAGTAAGTTTGTCATGAAGCAGGAAATCTGCAAAAGCACTCTCAGAAGAACACTTTTTTAGTTTATGAATCAATGCGGAGTCTAGTAATTCTAAAAATACAGCACATGCACTTGTTGTGGTACGGCAAACGCTCCTTCAAATGCAGTGTGTGTTTCTGAAACACCGGGTTGTGTGTTGAACGGCCTCTTCAGCTCTGAGTCATCTATTGAAGCTGCACCTCCCTTCCATCTCCATGAGAATATTCTCCCTCACTTCCATCTCTGCTTCTTGGTACACAACACTGGTTCATTCACCTTCGCCTTCGCCTCTTACTGGTTTTCATTCTGATTAGTTTTACTTCGTCGAGAAGAAGAAACAGACCGACTCAAGTCTAATGAAAAGACCTTCACCTCTGGCTCACCTCTCTTTCTACTGGCGGTCAGGTCAGACGGGAGCCAAACGTAGACTGGAAGCAGAATCTGATGCTGGTTGTGTAAGTTTGTGTGTATGTGCATGATCAGACCCACTCAATAAGCTTCTATAAGGCTGAGTCATACACACAAAGGGCAGAGTGTTTTCCATCCCTGTGCTGGAAAAGCAAATCACAGAGAGGGGTCTGACATCAGAGGCCGACTTCTAAAACACACTGTGCCATTCAAAGCAGAGACTGACTTCGGGCTTCCCAGCGGCCGCACTGACACATACATCCAAACATTCGCCCGCGATTAAAGCCATTTAGCAGCCAACGAGATTCTTAAGCAATAGGACGGTTGAGTTGATGGATGGCTCCAAGCCAGAGCCTGCTGGCAGAGGAAGCCAACTCAGCAGCCTCTTGTCAATATCTACTGGCATTTAGTTTGTGGTTGGTTGCAATTGAACACCCAGGTGCTATTTAAGCAAAACCAAAGCATCTAAATATTGTTTCTTCTAGAAGGGAGTGAATTAATGTTGCAACCCTGCAGTGCCGGAAATTAATCATACTCTAGGGCTGGAGATGAAAAAAAAAACACATCATTATCCAAGAATCTGCCAGTCTTTTTCATTTTTATTTTTTGATTTATCAATTCCTTCGGTTCATAAAATGAAGAGAGAAATAGCTAACACAATAATCTAAAGCCCATGGTGATAACCTCAGACTGCTTGTGTTGCCTAAAAGCGAAAGATATTAACGAGGAAATGTTTGGGCAGCATGTTTGTCTACAAAAATGACTTGACAGTTAATTGTTTGCTGATTACAATTATCTATTTAACCAACAAAGCTCTATTATTTACTATATTAATTCAATTTTCTGTCAGTACTGGATTACGGTGCATGCATTTTTGCAGTCCTTGTACAATATTTATCACTCTGCGTCAAGATTTAGACCTTTCCACTGTCGTAACACTCATCACTGTGAGCTTCATGCTAAGGATGGGGGAGCATCCCTCTCTATTAGGTGTGATTCGCAGTGGGTTTTATTTATTTATAAGGCTCTCACTGTTTTTTTTTTAACCCCCTCACACTATCTCGTAACAGCCTTTTAATATGGGCTCTTACCATACAAGCTCAAATGATTGGATTACTCTGCAGGTGCTGTTTTCACTGAGCTTGGAAGAACATGCAGAACAGTCTAAAGCCGGACTCATTGTTATCCACGGGGCCAGTCAGGCTTTGGCTGCTCTTGTTTTAATAGATTTTTAAGAAGTTCAGGTTTTCCATTTCATGTTTTTGTTTTTGAACTGACTTTGCATCTAATATTTTCTTCTTATTGTTATCCAAGTCTCTTATTTGTGTGCCTACATCTTATATTTTCTTACTATTGTATTGCTATTGTAAAGATGGCCTCCATACATCCACTTAAATGAAGGTTAAATGAATGAATAACATATGTGTTAAACTTCATCCATCCATCCATTATCTATACACCGCTTGATCCTCACTAGGGTCATGGGGGGCTGGAGTCTATCCCAGCTGACTCAGGGTGAAGACAGGGGACACCCTGGACAGGTCACCAGTCTATCACAGGGCTACACTTAGAGACAGACAACCAAGCACACTCACATTCACACCTACGGACAATTTAGAATCACCAATTAACCTCAACATGTTTTTGGACTGTGGGAGGAAGCCGGAGAACCCGGAGAGAACCCACATTGCACGGGGAGAACATGCAAACGCCACGCAGAAAGATCCCGGGTGTCCTCACCAGGATACAAACCAGCGACCTTATTGCTGTGAGGCAACGGCGCTACCGAGCCACCAGTACAAGTTCCACCAAAGCAATGTCTTCAAATTTCTTGCTTTGGCCAATCAATGCTCAAAAATTTAAACACATTCAATTACAAAATGCGAATAGTCACATGAGAGAAGTGATGCTTGTTTGGAATTTGTGATCAAGACAATGACTTTGAGAATTGGACGATGACAAACTGATTAAGTTTCTGTCAGCCCTGAACGCAGCACTGAATTGCTGCCTTTTCGTTTGGGTCTCTAAGGTCAAAGGTTAGCGTCGGATACAGAACAGCATCTCAGGAGCATGTAAGGATCCAGACGTTTCATCAGTGTCCACTTGCCGACAAAGACGTCAAAAAAATTTTGACATCAGCTTGTTTAAGCTCATCTACACCACTTATGATGAAAGAACAATCCTTCAATTTGTCGAGAAAATAAAAAGAAGACGTTGTGCTCTGCAGTTTAACATGAATTCCAACAGCAATTATCACGTTTGCTCTCCACCGCTGCCACTATTCAAGCTGAACACACCAGCTGTCAAAGTAGGGGGGATGGGTGACTCATCTCCTCTCCTCACACACAAACACACAACCTCCTTCATCTCTGCAATCACTGACACACAACAACAACAGCAGCAACACTTGTGACCTTTAGGTGCAACAAGCGGGCCTCTTCAGTCACATTATCCTCCCCTTGTATTTGGGTGTAAACAGCCACGCTGAGGCTTCAGGGCCTCCGCCTGCCCCAAACATCCAGGATGCTAAGAGGAGGGATGCTAAACTATGTGGATGCGGCGTTCATCGCAGCATCTCAGCGGTACCCAGCCTGCACATCCCGGAGAAACGGGCTGGCACAGCTCAGACAAGCAACAACATAGACATAAGACTGGAGGATGTATGGATGCGGAGGTTTGAGCTGAAACCAGATATTGTGGTTTTAAAGCCTCCATGATGGCTGGCACCGCCTTTGCATCATCCCAGTCCCCGAGCCTCCAGTGGGGGGGATGATGTCAAATATGAGGATGATGCCTAGTTTTTGGTGAACGAACAAAACCGTGGAGGAAAAAAAAATGTGATTTTAATAGTAATAAATGCTATTTTTCTTAACGTATGAGGATGAAAAGGGAGCCTGAGAGAAAGGAGGAAAAAACGCGGCGGATCTGTGCCGCATCTGCTCACGTTGGTTTTCTGTCAGCTGCACCCTCGTCTTCCAACCTAAACACACATTTAAACACACGTTTTTACGAGCTTTCACAGTCATTTTCATTCATTTAAGGCGCCACCGCCAACCCTGCTATTACACGGGCACATTTTCCGACATGAACACCGAAGTGTCTGTCAGCTTTGTGCAAGAAAAAAACCGAGAAATTTGAAGCTATGTCGCGAGACGCTGCACCTGCGACGAGGACGGTTGTTTAGCCGACATGCTAGCTGGCAGCTACAAGGGGGCTCAATATGAAAATACACTTGTTTTTACCTTTGTGTACAGCTCCGACGCTGCCATGACGGTCACTCGCTATGTCCTTGCTCCAATCTGGGCTAGAAGTCGGGCAGGTCTCCGCACTGCATGGGAGCCGGCGTGGGGCTCCTTGAAGCGGGGGGACGAGTCCTTTGTTGCTGCTGGGGGGCTCAGGGGGAAGATGGGTCTCTTATCGCCATGATAACCTGAAACGCTCGAGGCTGCTGCTGCTGAGGTTTCGGTGTCTCACTTTGCATTCTGGGTATGATGGATGAAATGATTCAGCCAAACCGAGGGAGCTGCGGCCGCGTGGGAAACTGCGCCCCCTGATGGTCAATGTGTAGAACTACAATCAGGAGAAGGAGGGCACTACAAATCCAAACAATGAAAAAAAACATTCTAGATTGGGGGAACAAAAACACTGTATATCAGATTTTTCATTTTCCTTTAGCTAAATGATTCCAATATAAATCTCATAATGTAAATGGGGCTGTTTGTCATGGCTCTGCTGCCACTGTCTATTAAATGAATAACAATATTGAGCTGTAATTTGTATAGACCGTCAGCTATGAGGTCCAAAAGTCTTCAGACTTCTGCACAGCTCTGAGAATCTTTGATTTTTATAAAATGTTAAATCCTCCAACTATTTTTTGATACAGATAAATCAATAGCAAGGGGCCTGCGTGCTCTGTAAAAGAAAAAAAAAGAAAGAAATGACAGTTATTCTGTAGCTTTTCTCTGTTTTTGGTAAATTACAGATAATATCTAATAAAATACAGGAAAAGGGTATTAATTTAGACATGAACTGTAAAAAATAATAAGGTCAAAACTGTAGACAACATTCATATCAAAGATCTATATTTTTTTTTTTACAAATGGTAATTCATTCTTTCACGTTTGACTGCGACGTTACAAAAGTTTTACTGCATTTTTGTCAACGAAAATGCATGATCATTTTACACATATTTGATGTTAATTGAAAGAAATTATAGTAGTGTATATAACATACTGAAAATGCTAGATATGTTATATTAATTTTTAAAATGATTTTTATCTAAATATTTCTTATTTAACAGATTTTCTGTTTTGTTAAAGTATCAAGTAAAATCACAGAAAAAAGTATTAATTCACATATTGACTGGGGAAAAAAACACCAAAGCTGTAAGTAATGTTCACATCAAAATTAGTTTTATTGTATTTAAATCACCTAAAAATATCATTATTTTTCCACCGTTTTTTAAGGTATTGTTCACTGTTTCTTTATGGAAATTTACTTTATAATGTTTATTAACCTGGAGAGCAATGAAATGAATTAAATCACTATGTCTGTAGGAAAAGAAGTATCTAAGTGAAAGGTAAACGATAGCCCTTACTATATTATAGAGCTAAAAGCCAATTTCAGTTACTTTTTTTAAATTTACTGAACAATAGCACAAAAACAGAACTGAAGAAGTCTTTTCGGGTGAGAGGAACAGCATCTTCAAGAACCAAAAAAAGAAGTTCATTTGGTTGCTTTTTACTGAAGCTCTTAGGATTACCATGACCCGGATAACTGAGAATCTACACAGACATCTCAGTAACTGTGATGTACACAGTGAATGAGGTGATGTGTAATGTTGTCTCACTGTTCCTGAAGCGTTTGGCGAAGTTGACAGACATTTTAGTTGAGAGGATCACGTTGTCTGAGACGTCCATCCAGAGTAACATGCGTGAGATTGACAACAAATCATGGACTTGTGGACATTCGAGTGTCTGACTATGGCCCTAACTGACACGCCAGCATCTAACATCCAACATGCCAACAGCCTGCGGCATCGCGTCATCTGAATAAACAGATTTTTATGCTGATGACACACAGATGTACCTTCCTATGAACCTGGTATGCTGAGTTCTCTTAATGACTGCCTCTCTACTGGATGTCAAATCATTTTCGTCAGCTGAAGACAGACAAGGTTCTTGGTATTGGGTCGCAGCACATGGCAAAACAGATTCTGACTTGAACTGCTTCCCTTTTGGATCCTGCTGAGCCTGTTGTAAAGAATCTCTGTGTCCAATTTCACAGTAATCTGAGCAGTACAACGCATAGCTTGTGCAATCATGCTTTTATCATGTTAGAAATATTTCAAAAATAGCATCGATCTTAAATTTAAGAAGCACAAAGACTATTTTACATGCTTTTGTTACATCTTGGGCTTACTGCAGCAGCCTGTCCACCTCCCTGAACCAGCAGTCTCTTTATTGATTACAGACTGTACAGAAGTCAGCTGCCACGTTTTTAGCCAAAACAGTTCCAGCTTGTTTACACTGGCTCCCAGGACAAATTTAACTTATTTTCAAGGCCCTTCATGACCTCTCTCCTACTCATATTTGATGTTTTAGCACTGTATGCATTAGTACACTGTTGGAGATCCTCAGGCGGAGGACTTTTGTTTGTTCCAGGGGCCCGGCTGAAAACCAAAGAGGACAGAGCGTTTGCAGTCAGGGTCTAAAGACTCTGACCGACCTGCCCGAGGACATCAGGTCAGCTGAGCGAGTGAACTCAAGTCTCTGCTCAGAAGACACTTTCATCAAAGAGCCTTTCTGATTTTACTTGAGTTTAATGTCCTTTGAACTGTCTTTCATTTCTTTCAGTCATGTTCATGGCTTTTCTAACACTATGTTGTTTTTATGTCTTTTAAATTCTGATGATTTTATCTCATCTGTTTGCTTTACCTAAATGTATTCATGAACACAGTATTTCCTTGATCGCATATTCTGCTTTTTTAAAAACAAGAGATGGATACAAACAGGGAGGAAAAAGAAAGAAGGGAAGAGTTCAGGTTTTAATTTGTTAGCGTTAGTTTTGGGGGTAAGACTAAAAAGGAAAAATACACATTTTAAAATGACTTCAGGGCTGCAAAGTGGATCAGAGGTTAGCACCGTTGTCTCGCAGCTAGAAGGTCGCCAGTTTGCGTCCCAGTGAGGACACCCAGGATCTTTCTGTGTGGAGTTTGCATGTTCTCCCCGTGCAGCCTGAGCTCTCTCCGGGTTCTCCGGATTCCTCCCATCGTCCAAAAAAACATGTTGAGGTGAATCGAATCTAAATTGTCCGTAGGTGTGGATGTGAGTGTGCTTGGTTGTCTGTCTCTAAGTGTAGCGCTGTGATAGACTGGTGACCTGTCCAGGGTGTCCCCTGCTTTCACCCTGAGTCAGCTGGGATAGACTCCAGCCCCCCGTGATCCTAGTGAGGATTAAGCGGTGTATAGATAATGGATGGATGGATGGAAAATGATTTCAGTATGCTGGTGTTGTTGACTGTGTTACTGGCTCCAAAAAAGGACACATGTTGATAAGTGTACCTAATAGCAAATAGAAAATCAAAACATTTTTAATCTTGTCTAATGTTAACTATAAGGAAAAGCCAAATGTCCGCATTTATGATCCATTTGAAAGCACCTTGTTATGCCCTAAATATGAACATAACACACACACAACACAGCAATTAAACATTTGTGCAAAACTATTTTATTTACAAAACAAAATGGCACAACGTGACAGCAGGGCAGCCATATACATGCACAGCTCAGACAGATGTAGTGCTAGCTTCCATTTACCACCATCACAGGTAAATTTCATCCAATCAGTAAAGACCCTGGAAAAGCACTACACAGGGCCGAGGACAATTTTAAGATAAAACTACTTCAACTTATGATTACACAAGGATTTCTTTTCCCCCCAAGTTATTACACTATTTGTTCCCAGTACAATTTATTTTTAACCACAGATTTATACTCACACAGCATACAGGACGCAAACACTGGTCCCCACTGACAGGAATTTAGCTTTCAGGTCCCGTATACCCCTCTACCCCTCTTTGAGCATGATTCATTCATGACAACTCTGACCCAGGGAGAGGACTGCGCCGCCATCAGAGGCCGAAATGAAACGGCGCACCGTGAACACAGCGCAAACTTTCAACACTGCAGTTCAGTCTGAAGCAACAACGCCCTTCTCTCGTCTTTCACTCTCGAAAGGAGAACATTTCCCAGTTCCTAGACGTCTTGAATGAATCATCCACCTGCCTTCCCAGTGCTTTTACGCTTCACCCAAGCTTTTCAGCATCTGCTTAAATGTCTGCTTAGTGCATCTTAATGAATTAAAATAGAGCGCAATGAGGTTCGCCTTTGGGAGCCCTGCGTCACACATGCAGTTCCATATGACACTCTGGCCCTTACTGTGTGGTCCTTTAATACGGACACAATCAAAGTGTTAACAAAACTGAACTTGGCCTCTGGATTACTATATTCAGTCAGTCACTCAAGCATATTGACAGCATAATTTAGAATAAGGACATACAGTGAATAATACAAATCTGATGTAAAACGTTCTAAAAGGCTGACGCCTGCCCCTGTGGCAAACAAAAAGAAATATATATATATGTATATATATAGACACACACACGCACACACACACACACTTGCAGACTGAGGGATCATGACCACCGTACTTAAGCTCTCCAACCATGCGAGGTGCAGCTTCTACTGCTCGCCCCTCTCTTCAGCCAGTAAACACAGACGTATGCATTGTCCATCCGTCATACAGAAGCATCACAGACCACTCATCGCACTCACACTCGGATGTCCTGTCATTCAGTGTATCTTACATAGAAGTAAAGAAATAAAATATGAAAGGAGAGGGAAAAGTAAGAGGAGAATGACAGAAGGGCAGTCAGTTGGGAGGAGTACCAAGGGACAGAAACAAGAATAGGGGGGAGAGGAGAGACAGGGGCAGACGGGGTCGAAACAAAAATAAACAGGATTTGAAGGTATCAGCTAGCCAGTCCGCTGGGTGCTAGGTGTGGGTTCCAGTTGGGCGGGGTCCAGGCTGGTGTGGAGGGGGGCAGACGCAGGGTGGTAATGTAAAGGGTGGGAGAGGTAATGTTACAGCTCTGAGACGTTGAGTGGACAGGGTTAGGGCTGAGGGGTGCTGCAGGGGCCGTTGAGGTTGCGTACACATCAGCCTGCTAGTTTACTGGCCACCAGAGAGGGTTTCCTCTGGGGCAGGTCCTGGGGGGTGGGGATGTGGTCCCCTGTGATCTCGGCCTTCTCCGGTGCAGCTGTCGGCAACTGTTTGTTCTTTATCTTCGCTTTAGCCATGTTGTAGTCACCCGAGTCAAAGTATTTTTGCTGTAAAAAGACATAATGTTACAATTTTCAAGTGTAACAATGAGAAGAAGCAGCAGATGTCAAGAAGAAAAACATTTTGGAAAGGATTTTGTTATTTAGACGACAGAGAGAGCAAATATCACTAATTTGTGAATATGTTTTAAAAGTTGCATTGCTGAGTTTTTGACCATTAGTTGTTCTATGGAGCTGTTTTTTTTTTTTTTTATGTAGCAATCTTTATTTTGTTTGTGTCATGCATGCACCGGGACATGCATGGACACGAAGGAATAGCAATAAACTACATCGCCGTTGGCTTTGTGCTGTTTAGCTGATAAACAGTTTGAGGAAGCAACTGATGTAAAAATGTGCAAACAAAAGCAGTGAAAAGAAGACTCCATAAAAGAACATGATGCAAACACAAAAATCAATTTTGCAAATGATTTTGCACGGGAAGATATGCCCTCAACATGTTCGCTACCCATCAAGGATAAACACAAAGCACAACTGCAGTTTGTTTACATGGAAACTAGATGGAGCACCTTTATGCTATAATATTCACATTTGTTTAGCAGGCAGACATAACATAAATCAAACTAATAATTACCATCTTCATTGATTGATGAGTCATTATTTTAAAAAACAAACACTGTTATCTGCACTCATGATATCAAAAAACTCCTTCACAGGCCCATATTCAGGTTAAATTATGTTTTGACATCATATTAGGCCCCGCTGCGGTTATCAGGCTGTGCCCTACTGACACACTTAGATTAAAAAAAAGGTTAAAAACCATGAGGGCTCCAGTCACAAGTTATTAGAACCCAAGTGAAAATTCCTAACTGCCTGGTTTCTCTGGCTGAAAGTTGCAGATTTTACAACATTACAGAAAATGCTTCCACATTTGACAAGTGCCAATCAGTGCTTGTGATTTTTCCCTCATTGGGTGGCTAACAATTAGCAACAACTCTGAAAGCTAATTAAGTAATTTTATCAGCAAAAACTATACAAAAAAATACTGATTCCACCTTCTAGTGTGAACTTTTGCTGATCTTCTTCTGTAACAACAAATTAAACATATGTGACTGTCAGTTGGTCAAAACAGGCAACAGAATGTGTCACCTTGTGTTCTGAGGAAACTGTGGTGGAAATATTTTCCTGTTCTCTGATCACTCATTGACCTAATGACAGTAAACCTACAGGGCAGTGCAGTGCAACTGTGCTGATGTGACAGGACAGCACATTCAGGGATCCTGAATGTTTTGCAGACAAACACAAGAGATCACTCACCCCCTTCTGCAGGCGTTTGCGAAGCAGATCAGAGCCTCCGGGTTTATTTCCTAAATTTGGGTATCTGGCCTTCAGCTTAGCCTCCTCTGCCTTCTCAGGACTGATCACCTTGTCCTGCACCTCCTAAAAACAACAAGAGGCATTAGGCACCGAGGAATATTGCTCAAAAACCGCATACTGCACAACAACAGAGCACACCCATTCAGGTTTCACCAGGCTTCAACTTGTTTGACACAATTTGTCAGCTGATGGCTCTGCGACACACATATGTCAACACCATACAGTTAATAACGCAGACAAATGTTGAGCCTAAAACCTAAAAAATACGAATAAAATATGTGTAACAGCCCTTGACAGTCGCGATTTCAACAAGCCTGGTTAAAACACTGTCAGCAAAGGTACGTAAACATTCACCTGTCTAGGATAGTGTGAAACTAAAGGACAAAAGTGTCGCTGTTGCATATTCATATGAAGCATTAGCTTAGTGTTTGCTCGACTGCCCCCTCACACAGTAGCCACTGGGGAGCTAGCCTACACTTGTGTGGGTTGGTAGGGATTAATCATGAAGTGTGCTGTAAAAATCATTTGCTGCGTATGTTATTAATAGTTGGGAAGGCGAGCTTGGCAGCAATGTAGCAACACGGAAAAAAAGAAAAAAGAAAACCCCGCTGTGGCTTAAGTAGAATTTAAGCTAACTGAGCAGGCACCGAGCCAGAGTACAGCAATGTGTTGAGTTGAGCTAAGCTAACTTTAGCACCTGAGCTAACAGTAACCGCTGCTTTGAGAATGTCATGACAGTTAGCCCGGCTAACAGGCGAGCCGCTAACGTTAGCTAACGGTCTGACATTCACACCAACCATCCGAAACATTCACACTGTCAGCAACAGAAACGACGGCTCAGTCACTCGGTAACGCGCTGTCGTTACAATATGTGACACACAAGAGTAACTATTCAAATCGGGACTCCGTATCTGGCTTTGATTAATATGTCAACAATGACGAGCGCGGGGCGCCGAAGCTAGGCGGCATAACGTAGCGTTAGCTACAACAAAGTCACTGCTGCTGCTGCTGCCTGTGCTAAAACCGCTAAACACAGTTACCTTCTCGTCTACCGATGTCTCCTCGGCCGCCTGTGTTTCTTCGTTTTCCCCCGACATTTCTCAATGATCTCAATCAAGACAACCGCTCACTAGTTGGACGAGTGATCCACAAATCCCCTGCTCTGACTTTACCCATACAAGAGCTGCTCAGCGCTCACTCCCGCACAAGAAATACTACGTCACATGCGGAGACACCATGCGCGCTCCCCGACCGGGCACTCCTGCCGTGCACCCGCACACCGTACAGAGTCGGGATTTACATTGCGTAACATCGCGATCAGCTGTTAGACCCATGTGCTGTGTCACAAATCCAGATTTCAGGCAATAATCCGCAGATCTGGAGGACGGTGAGTGCTGCTCTGATTAACACAGCACAGATCATTTATTTTCTGCGCTTTCTCATGAATAAGACGGTAAAGCCCTCACAGTGTTGGATTTCTGGGTATGTAGCAATAACAATACCCAGGAGTGTTTTCATCTCCAGGATGTACCCCGTCTTCTCCCCAGATCAGCTGGGAGAGGATTACCAAGTGTATAGATGATGGATGGATGTGTTTCCCCACTAAAACGGTCTAAATACATTTAGCCTTTTTCATTCTAATGTCTACTGAAGATAACATGTGAAACATAAAATCACTGTTTACAGAGATCAAAATAATGTGTGAAGCACAGGGGGCTTCCTCTGTTTAAGTAGCATTCCTTTCTTAATGGCTGCTTTAACTATTTTCATCCATTTTGTTTTTGTTTTGCATCAAAATCTTGTCGTTTTTATAGATTATAGAAAGTATTTACAAAGGCACACTGGTAGCATCATCCATTCTTTTGTTTTGTATCATAATCGTACCATTTTAATCAGTTTTATAGATTTCAAAAGGTTTATAAAAGGGAACACTGGTGTGTGGACTGACAGTCTGAACAATCATTTTTGTTTACCAGATTTTTAGGTAAAAGACTATTTTTGAAATGTTACAATTTTTCAAATACCTGTATCTATGACTGTTGTATAGGTTTTATTTTTCAAATTGTGCAGTTTAGGATCAATATTCCAAATCATGTTGCTTGAAAATGATTGACGGGAACCTTTTAGTATCTTTGTTCATCACTGGAAAAGTGCGATCTACTTTTAAACTAAAATACTTTTTTAAAAAATGTCTTGCATTATTGATTTAATTCAAACTTTATAAGCATGGAATGCATTGTGATTTACTCGTAAGAGCACATTGTGGTGCATCTGAGTAAAAAAAAAAAAACATCACACTAACAGTATGCTAAAAAAAAAAAAAGGCCTGTCAGTGATGGATTTCAAATGCATGTATTTATAGTGACGTTATGAGTTGGTAACTACTGGTCAGTGATTCCTTTCATTTGCTCTTATTAGAAGTTGAGTCAATGTAAGTGAAGTTATTGTCTGTAGGTGTGACATTGCGGACATTTCGTTCAGAATACTGAGAGGTAGCTGCAGGCAGAGCAGGAAACACAGAAGAGAAATGAAAACCACAAAGACACAGAGCAGATTTTCAAGATTGCTTTAGAAGATATATAGATATATTTTTTTTCAGATTTGAATATTAATGTCAAAAATACATACTATGATATACAGTTTGCACTACATCATCTTAGCATGACAGACGTCACAAGTAGTAACTGAAATATTAATTTAAATATTAAATAAACTGATGGTAAGTAAACTGAAAGTGAATGTGTAAACACTAAACTAAGGTTACTCTTTCTATTGCAACACTTCCAATAAAGTGGTTTTGTAACAGTACAAAAGTATTAGAATATGACTATTTTCTGTTTCATTTCCAGTTATAATGAGAAAAAAAAATCCACAGTGCACTTCTGATGTTCGGTTGTGATGTTTTTAGGTGAATCTGTCTTGATTGCTTGTTCGACTTCTTTAGTGGTCCATGGGAAGTGTTGCACCACAGTCTGCCGCCTGGTTCCTCTTCCATGTGCGCTCCCTCTCCTCCGAGCTCAGGAATCACAGGGTCACAGCTGAGTTTACTTTCAGCAGAGTCAATCTAAACTTCAAGGATTTAAAAATCGGAATCTTTGACCACTGAACGGGCCTTGTATTCAATTAGAAAGAAATTCATTGAGATTTAACACATAAGAGTCCAATTCATATTCTGATTCGCATCAACAGTAAAATAGCCTTGTTTGTTGGCTTTAATTTCAAGTGTCTAACCGCTTCTGTGGACAATCACTGGTCTCTACTCTCCTGCCAGACGCTGGAGGGGATACACACAACAGCAGGAAAAAGAATTAGCTATCAAATCTGGTAAGAACACCTTGACCAAGAGTACAAGATCGAAAACCCACTTTCTGACCGTAACCTTTGACCCAACCTGTCTGTTGCAAGTTGTGCACTTAACAGAGAACAAGGTTGATTTCTGAAGAGTCTCTGACGCTCTTAGCCCCCCCAACTCCCACCCCCCTGTCAGTTTTGGGTGACAGAAGGCATGAAATGTACGTTTCTGGACACAGGCCAGAAGAGGCTTGTTGACTGCGGTCCTCGTCTCTTTTCAAATAGCAGCCCTGGGATAACGGGCTGAATAAGAGTCTATCGCTGGCATCAGGGTGTGACTGAAGCTTCAGTGGTGGCCTGCCAGGTGGAGGAGGGAGGGCATCAGGCCTCAGCAGCGGGGAGAGAAGGGCGGGTCAATGGGGGACTCTGTGAAGGACTGGAGCTCATAGGCAGCACCGCTGTCCACCTCCATGGACTTCCTGGAAAACAGCAGACGGATGTCCCTGTGGAGGTAGATCTTCCCAGACTTGGAGCTCTGGAACCTGATGGGGATGGTAGAGAGAGAGAGACAGAGAGAGAAAACAGACAGTGAGGATGAGTACAGCAGAAGAAACTTCACCTCTGCTGGATAATATTCTACTTTCAGTGTGTGCAGAGAAAAATAACAGCCAGCCGACCTCAGATGAACGAGGTAGCGCAAGGTGCGTCCCTGGCCCAGGGAGAGGGGCTTCCTGCTGGTCTGATTGTTTGGGTCACGGCGGACGGGAACAGAGAAGGTCCTCTGGCGTAGGAAGGTCTGGTGTCCAGCTGGCATGGCTCGTAGGTCGTACATCACAACAAACATCTTTACCACCGTCTTGTTAGGGTTGAATAAGGTCTGAGGGGTTCAACCAGAGAGCGTTAATTTCTCACCCGCTGTGGCCTGATTTCACTGAACTATAAAGATGCACAAAATGAACACTATATTGTATATATATAGAGAATATATAGAATATTGTAAACAGAGTATAAAACGTATAATGCCTTTTGAAATGCAGAAATACAAGCACCATAAATGGATAAAAACAAGGCCATGTATCCGTATTTCACATGATGACATTTCCTTTACAACCACTAGGAGTCTCCCTTTCCTTCTGATACTTGGTGTAATCTCCTCTTTGTTCTCAGCTGTGTGCACTGTGATGCAGATATTTTACAGACAAATATTCTTCACATTTTTACAACTGTGAACAAAAAAAAATCCTCACCACTTGAATGGTTCCTGATGGAGGTACACGGTAGCCCCTTTTTCCCAGGGACTCCAGGTTTATCACACCCTATAAAAAAAGACAATCACAGTCAGAAGCAGGCGCATCAAAGTAAAACACGGGAGCTCACACACATTGTGTACAGACTGTTTCTTCTGTAGGCTCAGCCATGCAGGCTAAAAAAGAAGAAAAAAGATAAATTATTCAGTGGCTGAAAAACGCGATCTCACCATATATGGTGAGGGAGCGTTGTCATCGGAGACACTATAGAACGACACGTCCACGGGTAAGGTAAGGTGACTGGGGCAGAAGGATCCGCTGGCTCCAACCTCAGCTGTGAAACCCTCCACCGTCCCCAAAGGCTCCAGGCGGTAGTTCAGCACACACTCCTAATGAAACAGAGTTCAGCTTTAAAGATCTGTTGCTTATTTTCCCTCACAGCCTCACACACATAGTTTGCACTTTGATTTTTCCATCAATTCCTCCTTTAAGCAAAGTTATGAGTAATCTTTGGAAAAATGAAAACAAAACAAACTAGCAGTGAAAATCTACAAGCTGCTGCATGATGGTAACTTAAAGAAGTGCAGCAGCCAAATGAATTCCCAATGAGACTGGAATCATTAAAGGATACAAAATGGTGAATGTGACCTATTGTTCAAAATGATGACCGAAGAAGAAGAAGATTCTGTGTGTGTTGTACCTCAAAGTTTCCCAGCAGACTGAGACTGGCAGGTGGAGCACTGGCACTGAACAGCTGCTGAGACTCATCCGTGTATCCGTCTCTCTTTGGACACACCCTGAAGGGTTAAAACACACACAACTTGTTTTTAAATGTGTGATGTAAGAGCGGCTTAAGGTGTTTACAAGACAAAAATCCCAGGTATGCCTGAATAGGCGTGCGGTCCAGATGAGATGAAATGATCTCAGACTGATTATATTTGTGTGTAAACACGCTGTCAGTTATCTTGAAATGTTTGTTACTTTGACAACTTAATTCACTGGAAGAGCAGATGGAAATACTACCATTTGCATGTACTGGTCACACAATCTTGAGTCACGTGTTATATTTAGCCAAGAAAACGTTTTGGACTTCAAAAAAAAAAAAAATCATATCTAAAGGTTTGACAGTGGTTTTTGCCAGCCACAGCCAAACTGACCACAATCTATCTAGAGACTGAAATGAACTTTCAACCCAGAATGCCAAACTCTTCAAACATCTGCTTTATAAAAAGCAGCACTGAGCTTCCACCCACACTGGCTGTGTGTAGGCAGAGCCATGAATCTCTGTGTATAGAAAGCCAGTTCAGTTCTGTCTGCCATTTTGAGTTGAATATGTGTGATTCTAGATGCAGTCACAGTACAGCAGAGCTTCAGCAGGTGGCAGCGTGAGCAGAAAAGTCCTAACCTTACCACTGAGAATGCTGTTATTGTTTCGTCTCCGAACATGCAGACATCCCTCCTTTATGCTACTGTTCATCCAAGGCTTTTGTTTCAAGAGCCTGGATGTGGCAAACTGCAGCTCTTTAATATAGATCCTTCATAAAATTGGCAGTAAACCAATCAAGTACTGAGAGTAAAGTTTCCCCTGCTTGTTACACAATAAAAGCTGAAATGCTACAAAGTGAGAAAAACAAGTAGGTTTTTAAAGTTATGATGAAAAGTATGAGTAACTAGATCCAGATGGTACTACAATCAACAGTTGATGTGGGAGGTAACTGTAAAACAATAGAAAAAAATCTTTGTCCTGTAACTGTGACTTAGACTGCATTAATCCAGTCAAAGTACCCGACGTTCACTTTGTAGGAAAAGTAAGACAGAGATTTGTAACTACAGTAAGAGAAAATGCGCACCTTTTCCCAGAAGCCCAAGGCAAACCCTTACAGCCAGCCAGAGAGGTGTCTAGGTCGAAGTAGCCTGTTTGATTTTTCCTCTGAGGAACCTGCAGCAGACACAAAGGACGTGATTAACACAGAGCACTCATCATTTATCTTCGGTCTGAGCGTGTAAGGTATCCAATGAATGTTTTTTTACATTTCAAAATGAAAGTTTTCACCTCATAGAAGAGAAATTTCAAAGTATGTACTCAGTAATTAGGTGAGTTTTCAATGACGGTTAAACAAACTCATTCTCAACATCAACTACTAAAATATATTCTCAAAATTTAACGGTGAATTTGAAATGTCAACATACTATATTGCTACATGTTGTATCATGACGTATGTGTGAGCTTATGTGTTCAGAGTTTCTATGAGTGTGTGCGTGTGTTTGTGTTCAGGTCAGTTTTTTTGTATGTGTGAGTGATCAGACTGGAAACTGTGGTGATGAGACTTAACATGGCTGATGAGGCGCGGGTCACTCACACGCCTTACCTCCTGCTATGTGTGCTCCTGTGTGTACATTAACTCTGGATAACTACTCAGTAGCCCAGCAGCCATAAAAGAAAACAGCTGCCAGATATTTCAAAGTCTCTAAATGATAAACATTCACAGAATCACAGTACTTTCACCGGTGAAAGTGCTGTGAGTAATGCTACAGATGGCCTGGAATACAGGGTAGTGAGTGTGGTGTTATGACAAACACAACTGCATGGACACCGACAGTGACTACTAATCACGACTAAGTCATTAGGCATTCGCCTGCGCCTGTAAGCCTGTATGTGACTGAAGTGTCGTCTCGACAAATGTTCACATTACAAGTGGGGAATGACACAAAGTTTTATTGTGTAGATGTAGCTGCAGTGTGTGAGTGTGTTTTTCTCACAGGGCTGGAGAGCAGAGGCAGGCCAGTGCAGGGGTGGAAGGCCTTGGTCGCTGTGGCGTCTAATGAGTGGCGATTCTGTTTCTTCCAGCTGTTGCAGGGACGCAGTGGGGAGGGGCTGTGAGCTCGCTGGAGCACAGAGACAGAGAGAGATTAAGACAGCTTGCAAATGAACTGAAATTATCTGCATTTATCAAGCCACGCTTCTCCCAAGACAAGACAATATAAATCAGGAGGCTCTTTCCTGTATGGATGCTAAATTTAAAGAATGCCTAATGCCTATTTAGTAATTTGTGAGATTAAAGAAAGAGTAGGAACAGGAATAGATTTGCTGAGAGTGAGAAGATCAATATTGTTTTGATGACTGCATGGCAAACACTAAGCTATCCCCAGTTAAACTGGCATAAAGACTAGGAACAGGGGCTTTGCAAGTCCACCTTTTTTCAGATTTTTTTAATATGTACATACCGAACTAAAGTGCAAAAGCTACAAATGTCAATGGACAAACAAAGCTAATTAAAAAAAAAAAGAAGACCCTTACGAGGACAGTAGGGGATGGAGTCATGTCTGGACTGGATGTGCCGGAGCATCCAGACTGCGAGGGTGCCTGGTTCTCGTCCTGGAGGGCAGAGGCCTGGGCTGGTGCACAGTTGTGCATCTGCATCTGGGACCGAGACTGAGGCTGAGGCTTGCTGTGGTCGTGGCTTCTGATACAGTTCGTGGCTGGGCTGGCATCACTATAAACCCAGCTAAAAATCTGGGCATTCCTTGGACTGTTCTCAAGGACAGGGGAGGCAGAGGGGCTTTCATGGCTGCTGGGTGTCCTGACTCTGAGCTTTTCCTGGGGGGAAGTTCGTAAACGCTGGCCAGCCTGGGCAAAGGACTGGCCTCTCAATGAGGATTCTTCAAGTGTAAACTGAGCACCATTTTGGGCCCGGGGAGAATGGCATTCGGTCCCCGGATCGACTTGGGGCTTGTCTGTGCAAACGGGCATGTGTGTGGCAGCGGTGTGCGTGCTGCCTCTGTGAGGTTCATGGCTGGGTATGTGGCCGTTAGTGTAGCCGTTGGTGGCAGTGTGTGAGGCTTGTGGGACGTGCGTGGTGTGCGAGTACGTGCGGACCGTGTGTGTGACTGTTGTTGTGTGCGTGTGGTGCAGAGGGCTGCCATTTCTGCTGTGCCTGGGGGACAGAGAGGGGACAGACAGTCTCTCCTGGATGAGTCTAGTGATGTCTTGCACTGCCTGGGCGATGAGGGAGCTGTCTCTCTCCCTCTCCCTGTCTTTCTCCTTCTCTCTGTCTCGCTCCTTCTCTCCATTCCTCTCCTCATCTTTGTCTCTCGTCTCAGTCATTTTCAGCTTCCTGCAGGCTGCAGGTTTAGGGGAGGAGCTTTCCCGTTTGCCGAAAGAAGTGTCAGTCATGGGTGTGTTGAACGGGGTGGGCCACACGCGTCCCACGGACTCATAGGGTGGTACCTCAGGCTCTTTGGTCTTACTGGCAGTTATGTCGTCATGGTTACTGCCCCACATGGCTTTGGGAGGGTTGTCAGATGCAAAAAGGCCGGGAGGGAGTGGTGGCGCTGTGGGGTCACAGAAGTTAAGCCTTTGTGCAATGCGGGCAATAACTTCCTGTCTCTCCTGCAGCAAGGAGCCAATCAGGGGGTTTGTCTCGGATGCTGAAGGCCTCGGGGAGGGGCAACGAGGTGGCTCGGCCAAGGAGAAATTCTTAAAAGCTCTCAAAGGCTCAGGGATGGGACCCTTTGACCTCTCACTGCTGTTGGTACCAGAACCATAGTCCTCTACTTGTGTGGGGTCAGATGAACCATTGAGGGTTGAGTACAGCCACTTCCCTGCTTTACTTGTAGGGAGTGGGGAGGGGGAGTGGGATCGGGAGGGCGTGGGGGAGTGAGAAGGCCGGTGGAACAGCGGCGAGCCCTGACGCTGGGGGATGTTGACCTGCGGAAGCTCTCCGTTCTGATAGGTGTGGTTTTCAGCAGGCTCCTGGCTCTTCTTGCTGAAGGGATGTTGCACAGCGGTGTGAGGAAGGCTGTTAATGGGGATGCTGTTGATGGGAAGATTAGGAATGGGTAAGCCGTTGAGGAGAAGGCCAGACATGGAGTTGGAGCTCTTGCTGTACATGTTGGAGTTGTGAAGGAGGTTGTCTTTGCTGGGGTCCTGGCTCTTTTTGAGGGTGGGCAGGCCACCATGGCTGTTGAGGTTTGGGCTGAGGCTGGGAGTCTTGCTGTAAAGCGGAGGAAGGCCGGTGTGGATGCTGCAGGCCAGGGTGGGGTAGGTGGGTTGTCGGGGGAGCGACTGGACACGAACCTGCAGCGCGATGCTCTGGGATACATTGGGGACAGGGAAAATGTGCTCTGAAGGCGGCTGGGAAAACTGCCACACCAAGTCCTCATCAGCAGCACTGATCCTGTTGGACAGAGAGTGAGATTCAGTAAACAGGATTTACACCCGTTTATAACATTGAAATAAACAGAACTTTAGCAAGTTTTCTGTAGCTTTAACACTCTAGTCTGACAGCCTGACTGAGAAACCTTCAGCCCACCACTGTCCAAGTCTTCACTTAGCGCTACGTCTGACCTGTACAGGATGTTTCTGGGGACGATGCCATGGGAGGCGCTGAGCCAGGCGCTGAGCTGGGAGAAGAAGACGTAGGAGCGAACAGCCAACAGCAGGGTCTTCTCCTCAATGAAACGGTCGCCGCTTCTATTAAAAACACAGTTAAAAAGCGGTGGAAGTGTGCCAGTGTGTCAGGTTAATGAGAAAACGGTAAAGGGATGTGTGTGCGTGTGTTTTTCAAACATAAAGCGTTCCCTGTTCATACACATGTGAGTAGGAAAGTGGGCCGATCTGCAAGGCTAATTAACCCCCTGAGTGCCAAGCCAATTATCTGGATCTTTACATTTTGTTATCACGTTTTTCTATGTTAGGGCCTGTATTTTTGTGCACTATTTCAGGTTTTTCTTCTTTTATAGCTTTTTACCTTCAGTATTTACCTTTTGCGGTAGATTTCTCTATGATCAATAGACCTAGTGGGAGATAAAACTCAAGTACCTCCACTGCAATGGAATTTTTTACATTTACAAAAACATACATTATAACAATTTGCAAAAATGTTTCCTTACTATAACTTGCTATAAATTAAAATTATTCAAATATCTAATTAGGTAATAGCAATTCGACAGGCCTTGTGAAGGTTCATACATTTTTGGGCCCTATATAAATGAATTATGAATATAGTCTTTGTTGCATGGGCTTAGTTTGGACTGCTGGCCATTAGATTTGTTTTTCAAATCACATCTTTAGGACAGGCTGTGATTGTCGAGATGTAACCAAGCTATCTGCATGGGTTGCTGTGGCTGCGGTGGAAGCCTCTCCCCAAAGTGTCAGCAGACAGACAGATTGTTGTTGTCCATGTTGTGCACTCTGCTAGTAGCAGCAAGAATTTTGCTCAGCATTTCTGTCACTCTGGATTTAACGTGGTGGTTTTGTGTTGCATTGCGTGTGATGCAAAAGACGCTTTGAAATCCCATTTAGGCTGAAACGCCGTCAGGACTGAGACGCAGCGGTAGAAATGTGACTTGAATTGAATTTCAAACCATGTCCAAATGTGGTTCGGATATAGGTTGTAAAAAAAAAACAAAAAAAAAAAAAACATGTTTTTTTTTTTTGCTGTCCAGAATTTCTAAAATCAACCTGGATACAATCTAAATAGTGGAATTGGGCTGGCAACCTCAACAAGACCTTAGACGCAGGTATAACATTGTAGTGAGAAACAAGGTCTGTACATGGCTACGCGATAAAACACAGCACAGTAACTTCGTAATTCAGTTTTTTTTAACTCAAGTTTTTTTCTTGAATTTCTTTTCCCATTTCCTTTTCAGATCCTTTAAGTGTATTATTAAATTTTGACATAAAAGAAGGAGGAATACATTGCTGTTGACGCTGAACCAACATGCTGTCAGACTTCAACTGTTACCAAACTGGCCCATGATCACGCTGTGCTACGTGTGTGCTGCTGAAACCTGTACAAGCTCATACATGTATTCATTTTAGCAAACCTTAAGGCACTCGACACAACGTATATATGGAAGTATTTTTCACATCTACATTCATGTCTTTTTTGTGCTTCTTTTTATTTCACAACTCTGTGTTTCTTCAGTATATGACTCAGATACTGTAAATTGCATGTGTTTCTATTTCAGCTAGTACTTCTCTTATTTGTATTCTGTTTTCGGTTTGACTGAGACAGCTGTGCAAGAATGAAATAACTCTTGTACTCTTTACCTTTGCAAATGGGAAATAAGGTTACTTAATCTTGAGCAACTCTAGGAGATGTTTGTAGGGATAAAATTTGCCTGCTGAAGGAGTTCTTTGCGCTTAAAATTATATTGCATGAACAAAACAGAATGTCAAAGCAAGCAGAGTATGTGAAAGCACGAGTTGTGCAAGCAATAAAAATAACCAAGAAATGGATGAAGGGAGAAGGCAGGAACCTTGGAAATATAATGTACTGTGTGTCTCTTCTCTTTGTGTTTGTGAGCGCCGTCTTGTTCATATGAAAAACACTGTCTCAGTATTTTATGAAAACAGACAGGAGTCTACTTTTCTAGCATCGTCCATGTTTAAGACAGTATATATATGTGTGTGTGTGTGTGTGTGTGTGTGTGTGTGTGTGTGTGTGTGTGTGTGCTTGTGTGTCCCTTACTGTCTTGGAACTGGCTGCAGGGTCCATCTCTCCAGCAGCAGAGCATCTTGTTTGATGACCGGGTCGCTGATGGGGTCACTCGGGGGGCACTCGTCGCCATAGCAACAGTCTGGCAAGAGCATGACCTCGATCATGATGGGGATGCTGTTCCTCCAAAGCAGGATCACCTCAGAACGGGTTCGCCTCGCCTGCCGACACTGGACACGCACACACACAGCCGCAGACAAAGGTGGAAGGTTAGTGCTCATTAGTGAATGTCAACATGGGGTTCCTGAAACTTAGGGGCAAAGCAGATGGGACCCAAAGGAGCCCCTCTTAGAGCTAAGTGAATTCCCTGCAAATTCATTCAGATCACATCGGAGTTCAAACAAGGTTTACTGTGCATTTCCTTTTTGCATTTCTATTCCAGTGACAGAGGGATATAGTGCACACTCAGCTTATTAGGTACACCTTACTGAAATTAAATCTGTCTCTGTTACAATCCTGCAATTAATCATTACTACAAAAAGGTTACAAAATAAAGAGTTTGTTGGAACTGTCGTAGAAAGCTGCTGTAATCTAGTGATTCGATCACTAAAAGTTGATTGTTGAGTTTCTGTTGTGCTGGGAAAACGACAGTATCTTTTTAAAATTAATTATCACGGTCATTCAGAACAAAGATGTTCAGTGTGGAACCAGTTTGAACAGCCAGTCTTACTTAACGCTTATGATTTGAGTTACATAAATGCAGCAGCAACAACCTCTCAAAGTGAAGAGCTACTGTCTTCTTTTACATTAAAAAAAAAAAAAAAAAAAACATATGAGAGGCTGTGAACATAAATGTATGTTCAAGTCTCCTACCTGGGGCAGTTTGTCGCTGCACTCATGCTTGTGAAGAGGCGGCATGGCTGACTGGGCTGGCGGACAGTGCAGCCCCTCAGTCCTGCCCTTCACGGAATACTCTGGTGTCCTTCCCTCTGTGATGAGCAAGGTCAGGAACACCAGGAACTCCTCAGCATCGTACTCGAAAAACTCCTCTGTGGCATCTAGACAACACAGAGAAACAGAGGGTCAGCATATTCTTCAACATCACTTCACATTAAAACAGCAAACAAGGAACTGGTTGGACCAAAGTTAAATGACTTATCTGCCTATTCTTGGACTGATACTGGGACAATAAAAATACCCAAACAAGAGCAGAAAGTCACATGTATTGCCATGATGCATGACTGATTATCTTTGTTTAGGTTTTTGCTTAAGTGGATAAGGCTATTTAACTTCAGCTGGAAAGGCTTGTTTAGAGAAGGGGTGTGGGGGAAGGCGGCGGATGACACAACTTTTCCAGTTTGGCTGCTTCAAAGGAATATATTTAGACCTTCCATGTCAGCTGAGCTGAGGGGTGAAGCCACACACTGACTGCTCCTTCTCTATTACAGTACACACAAACATAGGCAGCGCTGACGGTGACATTATTAACACTCATTGGCAAAACATTTACATTCAAAAACTCAATCAGATACACGAGAAAAGTACAGGGCTGAAATAATTGAGTGTGTGCTGCACCACTCTGTGCCTCACAAGTTTTGCCAGGGTAGTGTGGGTGGGGCTGGCAGGACAGAGTAGGGCTGAATCAACCTTTCACTGTTTTGGAATAGGCTATTCCCCTCTGACTCTGTTCAAATTAACAGTTGTATAGCCACACAAAGGCTCCTGACAAGGAATAATCAGCTGGCTGTCACATTTAAATTATAGCTCATGCTGAGCCCCTCTGTTGTCCATTATTATTCACAGCAGCTGAATCTATAGGCGGCTTTAAGATGGGGGCTGTTATGTATTTGGTTACCAATCAAATGTTGCTTAATTGTAGGTTTGCCTCTTGCCACAACAAAATGAACAAAAACCTGCCGTTTGGGTTATAATTGAAGCTTAGATCTTAAGTTATTTTTAGCAGACACTTGAAGAGCCTGTCTTAGCTCTATATCGCCTGCACTCCTCCAGAGAAAACTCCCAGAATCCCTCAGGAGGTCAGCTGATACACAGCAGCACAAAGAATTACAGCTTTCTTTCTTCACAGCGCACTGACATACAGAAGCTGGCTGCTTGTAAACTCGGAAGTTCTACATATCGGAATCAGAGTCAAACTAAATGGAAGTCCAATTTAGGTGGAAATTTCTATTTTTTTCTTAATTTTTTTTCTTACTCTAACAACATCACAACCTCATAAGGATAGAAGTACAGATACGCAAACACACAACCTGTCCTCCTCCCACCAGAGCAGGACTGGCTAGAACAGAGTCCTTCTCAGCTGGCTCTGCAGAAGTGCGAGCTACGAGCTGCTGCTGTATGTATGTGTGGGTACGCATCGTAGTCAGCCAGCCAGTCACGCACATTCCTCCCAGGGAACTCCTCCTACATGCCTCTGAGCTGCTGCTGCACGTGGAGAGAGACGCAGTCCAACACAAAACATGAGGAGGGAGGGACGGGAGGAGGGGGTCTGTTAGCCAGCTGTAGGCTGAATAAGCGCAGGATGAAAGAGATGGAGAGGGAGGCTATATTCAGAGACAATCTCCTTTTCTTTATGGGCTGGGATCGGAAAGACTCGAACAAAGGGATCAAGAGACCAACAGTGGGGGAGAAAAGGAGAGCAAGAGACAGAAGAGAGGGAGTAATATATGACAACGGTCAACATTCAAGGTCACAGTCCATCACCTTTGCATGATGGTTGGCTTGAAAGCACTGGATATAGTGGGTACTGACTGGCTGATCTGATGCTAAGGTTTAATAATCCCAGTCTGGACTGGACAAAAGGTTCCACTTCCTGCTGCTTTTGGGACTTGGGCTAAAAGGTGACAATATGTGATGGAGGCCAGGAGCAAAAGAGAAAGGAAGCATGGATGGATGAAGCCAGGAAGGTAAAAGAGTGATTAAGGAAGCAGAGGAAAACAGCCTCTGAGGAGGGAGGAAGGTAGCACTTAAACTACTTATTTGCCTGCCTATACCCCCCTTGAAAACACACACACACACAAGCACACACAGCGCCCCAATTCATGTGTGCACAGTGGGTGTCAGATTGCTGCTTTCTACGAAAACCAAGCCCAGGAACATTGACCCTTAGAACACACATGGCAAAAACACACATGAACACCATGGCACAAAGCAACACACACACACATCCCTACACACACACACGCACACACACAGTGCAGGACAAAGGACTAGTGATGGAGGCTTTGGTTCAAGGGGCCCTGCCTGCGTTTGCTAAGATGAGAGCTGTCATTCATTAGGGCGTAGTGCCTGAATAGAACATTCCTACGAAGCCTACACATACACACACACACGCACCAGCACAAAGACACACATCTTAAATGGAAATTGGGAGGTGATCGGGATAAAGAACAAGACAAAAAAATGGCAGATGTAGTGATCCTTTGCACAGATGCTGTGTCCAGAGCTCAAACCTTGTTGTGTACTTTTTCAGCAACTTTCAACCATCAAAACAAAATATATGATTGTAATACATCGTTGATGTTTTAGCCTGATGATGGATGCCGGAGGCAGAGCTTCTTCCTCTGCAGCATTTTTAATCCTGCTTTTGGTAGAACTGGTTAATATCTTTTGGGAATTTATGTAACAATCGGCATTGTTTACCAATCATTAAGCCTCCAAGCTTGGTTCAATGTTCAATCCTGCCTTTTCCTTCCTGTCCTCTTCCTCTCTTTCCAACTGGACCGTGACCAATTCATTCCTATCTCTTCATCTTTTTAAAATGTTAGTTCTGAAATATAAATATGTGCTTCTCTCTTTCTTCAATTTGTTTGCGAGCTCTCTATGTGTGTACATGATGTCATTTAGTGGTTTTTCAAAACTTCACTGGTGCCCCTTGCACTTAGTGACAGAACTACCATAGCAACTACTAGCACCGCTCAAGAAATGCAAACAAAAAACACTTCAATGAGGAAAACATAATCAGGTTTAGGTCCAGTGTGTAAATAAGAAGCTTTGCCGATACTGAGCAGCGCTGTACGGGTCCAAACCCAGATACACAAACACACAATGGAAACCTGTTATTCTCTTTTCCATGTGCATGTGATCTCAGCTCCATCTTCTGATAATGTGTGATGTAAATTATGTAACAGGTCGGATTAAGATTCAGGGGTCTTATTATTAGACCTGTGACCGCCTGCCACCAAGTGCAGCTGGAGTCCCGCCTACAGATCAGCTGGTTCAGCACACACACACACACACACACACACCTCTCAGCTGTCTCCATGTCCTTGGGCCAACAGATCAGTATAGTCATGTGGGATGGAAAAAGGCCTCCAGGACAAGAGCAGAGGGGTCAACCTCAATAGCCAACATGGTCTTCGGAGTAAACACACCAAAATACACACTGACACACACTTTGGTATGATTCATCATTACCTAAGACCTGTCCGAGAGGCAAATAGAAAAGTCAAACACGTCAGTGCATCGGCAAACTGTTGTATGACTCGTGCATGTGTTGCATCTCTAATCATATTCCTGTACACTTGTACTTGGGGTGTGAGAGTGATTATGAAGCTCGCAATTTGAATACACGTAGCTGGGATCAATTTTTACATTTTGTACGCAGCAGTGTTGCTGTATTAACAGAGAGACAGATGGGAAGACAGAGGGAGAGAGAGAGAAACACACAAAGTAAGGGACGCGCACACACACACACACACACACACACACACTTTCAGATAAGATGACCCATTAATCCTTGCACTGTGGCCACACAATCACTGCGTGGTTGGCCCTCTTTCTATGGCAAAAGCGGCTCGGCTCTCTTCACATACGAACAAATGTTCACACACATACACTCACAGCTAATTTGAATGCGGACTAAGTACCCATATGGCCACCACTCCCATCCTCCTCTGCTCAGCCAGTGCTGCACTCTGTATGTGATATTTGTACACGACCGTGTTTAATAAGTAATGATTATTTTCATTAGGAATTAATCTGCATCCATCTGTTAATTGTTTAGTCTACAAAATGCCAGGGAATGGTTTCCACAGATCACTGTGACATCTTGAAATGTCTTCTTTTTGTCTGAACAACAGTCCAGAATCCACAGATATTCAGTTTACTCTGCTGTGTTCCAAAGAAAAGCGTCCAATCCTCATGTTTGAGAAGCAAGAAACAGCAACAATGTGAAGTTTTTGCCCCCAAAATGACTAAACTGATTATTTAATTAGCAAAAGTCTCAGTGGGTACACAACCCTGATATGTTCACTTACAGCTGGACTACTGGTGCTCAAAGACAGGATGTTTCACACACAGAAAATGTGATAATATATTGCAGTCCAGCAACCAGAGAGAGATGACAGAAAGAGAGAGACAGAAGGTCCGCAGAGATACTGGAAGAGACAGACGTGCAGTCTAAAGGGCAGATAGGAAACATGCACAGATAGTTGAGAAGGCAGACAGGAAGTCATTTCAACCATGTTTCCACTGAACTGTCTGCCAAGCAAATTTCATGCAATCATGTGAAACCTTGTAATAAAGCAAATTATGTGTCATTTCTATCAGCTGAGTTCCTGTTTAAAAAACTAGCGTCCGTTAAGAAAAAGCAAGTTTTTTTCTGTTCTGGGGAGTCTTAAAGATGAAAACTGGAAAATATAAACCGGTCTTGCTTTTGCATGAAATATCCAGGTCGAACATTAAAACCAACTTAAGAAAAATTAACCATTTTTAAAAATAGCTAGAGTAGAGCATTGGCATCTGCTTTGTTCCACTTCAAATGCCCAGACAGGCTGTGAAAGTAATGAATAACTCTGTCCACAGCGACTGGTGAGGTTCCCCTGAGCAAGACACTAAAGCTCTAACTGCTCTCATGGGGCTGAGTCAATTTTCTCGAGATGAATAAATAATAAAACTTAGAGAACAAAGATTTGTACGCCCGGACCAATTTCTTGAGAAAAGCAGGGCAGCAAAGACACAAGAGGATATTTGTCATTTCTTAAAATGCTCATTTGGTCTTGGTATTTAAAATCTTTTAAGGGTTTAAGTTGATATGTGT